CCCCGAGCCAGACGACGCCCCCTAGGCAGGTCGGCCATCGCCGGGAAACGACTGCTGCTCTGGCGCTGGCGGAGGTACTCTTACAGCTGCTGGAAACAATGCTGGAACGGCAACTTGATCTCCTCCAGCACGAGCTTGAACTCGGCGCAGCTCTGCGGGTCGTTGCAGGCATGCCCGCGCGTGATTACGCGGTCGCCCACGTCGGCGCACGGATTATGATTCCTCTTCGCGCGCCTTGCAACCCTCTGTCGGCGTCGACGGCCCCACCCCCCGGGCAGTCAGCAAATTACCCACCTCGCTCTTCTCGTTGATGCGCCAAGGAATCCAGACCGTGCTCTTGAACAAGGAAGTGCCCCATCGTCGCTGTGCAGGCAGGGCTCGAAACGCTCGGCATTGAATAACTCCAGCCCTGGTTCCGACGAGATGGTCTCCCGATGCAATACTTCTGCCCAGCCATGCGCCCTCCTGCCGCAGCGGGTCGAGGCTGGCCCCCACCGGGCGCGGGGGCGCGCCAATGACCCACTCCCCGAACTCCAGCATCGCCGAGCTGAACCTGGCCATCTTCAGCAGCTCGTACGGCGTGCGACCTCCGCGAAGAACCTGGAACCCGTTGTACACGTGGCCGCTGTGTCGCACTGCCCATGGCACGACGGCCGCGCTGAGCTCCATCTTGATCCCGTACTCCTCCTGCAAGTATAAAGGAATGGTCATGAGGTCCCCCTTGGCGATCTTCACGGCGACCTCCGCCGCGCCGTCTGACTCGCGAGGATGCACTGGGCTCCTCCGCATGGCGATGGAGTCCATAACCCCGTGTGTGCGCATGCCGCTCGCACCTCCTGCACGAGGGCGATTATGGCCAGCTCGCCACCGGATTGCGCCTCGATCCGCAAGTGCCCGAGCTCCTCCAGCAAGACCACGCGCGCCCGGACGCTGCGCTCGTCGGCACCCTTGGCTCGGACTAGTCGAACGGGACTACGATCAGCAAAGTCACCCGAAGCTGCGCGCGTCGTACATGGGCTCATCTTGGGCTCGTCCTGATACGCAAAACCTGCACCAGGCTGGAAAAGGCACATGTCCACGGAGCTTACGATTCACCTGCTCTTCTGGCGATGGTGTCTCTGGACGTCGCATCGTCTCGGCGTCCCTTCGCGCTGCGCTGCTCTCTTCGCCCCCAGGCACGTCGGGGGCATCACCCTGGATCACGTCCACGCCCCCGAGCTCGTGGCTGGCCATTTGCCTCGCCTCGAAAAACTGGTTCTCGATGCGCACCAGCATAATGGCACGCGGCGGCGCGGCAGTGGGCCCCAGCGCCATCCAACTGGACTCCCAGAAATGAACCTCGTAGCCCGAGTTGTCGATTATGTCCGCGACTGCTCGGACGGGCCGGCGCGCGTTGCCGGCGAGGTACTTGGCCCGCTGCTCTTATGTCTGTCCATGCACGTACACTCTGGCGGTCGTCACGGTCCTTCCCTCGTCGATGTCAACTCGCTGCCCTGTCACCGTGACGACGTCAAGCTCGTTGCCGATCCTCGCGTTTGGCGCCCCAGGCGCAAAGCTCCCGGGACACGCGCTGTAATGGGCGCCGCTGTCCACCGCCACCCGCATCCCAAGCTGGAGCACCGCCGCGCCCTGTGCATCTCCGCCTGGAGGATCCACCCGTCCTTGGGGCCGTCCGTGTCTATAGCTGTTTTGGTCCTCGTCGCTGTCGCCGACTTGGACGCAACTCCAGCCGCAGGCGGTGACCCCGCAGCTCCCCCTGCGGGGGCCCCGGGGGCCGAATCAGCCTGATCCGCGGCCCCAGATTCCGTCGGTCTGGGCCGATTCCTGCACTCCGACTCCTTGTGCCTCCATTTCCCACGGTGTTTGCAGTAGCCCTGAAAACGTTGAGCCTGCTGTTGTTGGCCTCCCTGCTGACCGCCACCACCATCCTTCCTGCCCTTGCCGCCCTTCGGCTTGCCCGTGTCCTTGCTGCTCTTGCCTTTGCCCATGGGGTACTTGCCGCCTTTCCGATAGCCCTTCGGGTCGACAGCGCCCACGTCCATAGGCGTCGCCCCGTCGGTGATGGCCAAGCTGGACATGCACTCCACCAGGGTGTCCCTCAAGGCACGGTAATTCGAGAACGTCTGAAGAACGACCTGCTGCTGAAGATTGGCCCGACTGTTGTTTTTCAGGATGGACTGGAAGGGAGCGTCGCCCACGATCTCTGAGTAGGTCTGCTCGTACGTGCGAACCTCTGCTTCCAATTCCTCCACCTCGTCCTGGGACTGATCCGCTCGGCCGCTGAATTTCGTCTGCTGAATATCCGTGAACTGAGCCACCTGCACAGAACCCGAGGTCAGGCGCTCGCTGTTGCACAGCAGGCGGTACGCAACGATGCCATTGTGCGACTCGATGTTCATCAAGAACCTCTTCGCCGATCCCTGGAGCACACCGTTCAAAATGTACATGAGGGTCCTGCTCGCCTTGCGTTCCTCCTCCGAAAGGGTTGCCAGCTTGATCTGGCCGTCCATACTCTCGGACCTCTCCATCATGTTGAAAAGCTGCTCGCTGATCGCACCAACGTAACTCTTCAACGTGAACTGGAACTCCGGCCATTCCGCTTCGCTGTTGCTGTAGGGGCGTGGCTTGCCCAAGACACGAGGGTCCACGATGGGTGCCGCCATCTGCCACCCCGAGGATCAGAACAGTAACCCGCGCTACCATGCGAGCCTCCGGGCTCGCTCAGCGGAGTGTGCAAGATCCACGTACGACGTGAAAGAAAATGGAAGGATGGCTGACTGGTGAGTTTTCTTCAGCACTCTTGGCCTTGAGCCAAAACGTCGATGGACAACGGGCGTGTGCAACGTTCCGCCCGCATCTCTCGCCGCATGCTACACCCAACTGCTATCCCACATGATGGGATAACTGACTCTGCTGCACTACTTCTCTCAGTCCCAAGCTTGCCAGCCCATGTTGGGCCACTCAGCACATTGATGTACAAGACTGCGCTATCCCCCGTAGTGGGATTGATGTTCTGTGACCCAGAGGCGCTGTAGATGCCAGCAAGAAGTGGACAAATCAGATTCAAACATATTCGAAACATCGTGCCCGCATTATGGCTTGACTATGTTTGAAAATTCCCTCTGTACAGGGACAGGCCCGGTTTAACCCTGGCCCAAGGTGCCCAGCGCTTTTCGCTCCATCTTGGCACGCCCAGGGCCCTCTGGACATCGTTCGGGGTGCTCTGGAGGCAGTGGGGGCCTCCCTGGAAATCCTGGGGGCACCTTGGGCCAGTGGCACTACTAGCAACACCCGCCCGGACCTCTCCCAGGGTGCGTTCTGACCAGAATGTCGAGGCGAATCCAGCGGTGACGAGAGCCTCCCAGGAGGCCCCCAAAAAGGAGAAAATGAGGCAAGGGTTGCGGTATGGATACCTTTTCCTCCTCCGACCGATGCCGCTGAGGGGCATCTGGAACCCTCTGGAGGCCCCCAGAGGCCCAGGGAACACCAAAAACGTCAAAGAGTCTCACTCCTCGGGCCCCGGTCAGGGGGGAACAGGCAAATGCGAACACCTCTACTCCCCAGGCCTCTCCCTGGATGCGTTGTGACAGGGATTCTGGGGCGCGTCAAGCTGTTGCGGCGAGGGATGGGTAGTGGCACGGTCGAAGCATGGTCGCTCAAGTACGTGTGAGTCGAGAACCTACTCTGGATAGGGGTACTTTATCAAGGGGGGCGGGTGACTAACCTTCCGACTGAGCTTGCCCAATCCCGCCCCCCTCCATTCTCCTTCATCCTCCACCCCCATCCTCCTCCTCCTCCTCCTCCTCCTCCTCCTCCTCTTTCTTCTCCCCCTCCTCCTCTTCCTCCAACCCTCCCTCCACCCGCTCCGACAGCACGCGCCCACCCCCCCAGCGGACTCAGCTCGGGAGGGCGATGACTGTCCCATCCAACCGCCCCTTCGCCGAATGCCAAAGGCCCCACGAAGATGGCCCCAACGGCAGAGCCGTCAGCATGAGGGTACCCTTCGCAGCTGGAGCGGTTCTTACTCCTCGTGCCAGCCGTATCAATACTCCGAATGGCATAATAATCGAGATAACCTTCCGACGAAACGTCCCCATCCCCCCCCCCCCACCCGCCCCGCAACGCGCGTCCAAAATTCTCCCCCCCTGCCACCTTGCACGGGAACTTATCCCCCCCCCGTCCCCCTCCAGCGACACGCGCCCATCCCCCCCGCCCGACTCCAAGGGAGGGGCAGTGATTACGCCATCCAGAATATCCCCCCCTCCGCTGGAAGAAACAACACTCTCTCTCTCTCACACACTATACAACCACACACACACACACACACACACACTGCTGGAGGTCCGCGTGGATTTCTTGGATCCGACCTAAAGCTGGACCCCCCTCCCTGGCGCGCGGAACGCACCAGGGACGGCGCCGGAGGCGCCGCCAGGAGGGCCCAGCGCAGGTCCAAGAAATTCGTGAGGAACTCCCATAATTTTATACGAACGGTCAGGGTGTGACGGGCAGCGAGTACCGACGACGCCTTTAGAACAATGGGTCGGGCGAGCACGTTAAGTGCAACACCTCTTAGCGCGTACATGGTATACACGCTAAGCACCCGCCACAAGTGCATGCTAAAAGTGCGCGTGGATGTAGTCGTTGTTTCTTCGATAATCCTTTTACCCCTCACGAAGGCTGCCGGGCGCGGCCATCAAAGGCCTGTTTTCCCTTCGGCCCGGGTCAGGGGCTGCGATTTGCAGGCTGGGGTGGGTTTAAGGCCCTTCCGCAGGCAAGCAGCATCTGATTGTCTCTGCGTGGGCGCGGCCTGGGACTTTGGCGCCGTCCTGGGGCCATGTTGGAGGCGATCGTCCAAGGGCGCCTAAGTTCGCGCCCTCGCGCCGCTCCCCAGGGGACAGGAGGGGGATGAGGAATCGGAGCCGACGCGCGAAGCGCAAAGCGCGAAGAACTTCGCGCCCCCGGGGGCGCCGTGGTTTTTCCCCTCCGGGGGCCGCCGAGGCCTGGCGTGGCGCGCTCGCCCAGCTGTCCCAGCGCCGTGGCGGCGGCGCTGCGTACGGCGCCGTGGCCGTCCTCCAGCCGCCCCACCAGCAGCTGCTCGGCCTCCGTCGTTCGCCGTCGCTCGTCGGCACAGCCGTCGCTAGTCGTCAGCGCCGCCGCCGTCGTGCGTCGCCCGTCGTCGCCGCCGTCGTTCGTCGTCGCCTTCGTCGCTCGGCGTCGCGTCGTCGCCGCGACATGGGAGCGTTTCTTCGATTTTCGGCGATGACGGGCGTCATGGGGGGGGAGGCGGGGGGGGGGTCCGGCACCTCGGCCGCGCCCGCGCGCATGACGACGATGAGCGATGATCGACGAGCGACGAGTGAGCGACGACGACGACGACGCGAGCAGCATGTAGGCGGCGATCTGCCCTACAGCACCTGTTTACACCACAGTGCTCGCGTGCCACGCAACGCTTGTGCAAACCACAACGCCTGACGACACCATACCATCCGCGTGCAACGCAGCGCTGGTGTACACCACAATGCTTGCGTACACCGCGACAGCCGTGTGCAACGCAGCGCCTGTGTACACCACAGTGCTTGCGTGCACGATAGCGCCAGTGTACATTACAGCGAATGTGTACACCGCAGCAACCATGTGCAACGCAACGCCTGTGTACACCACACTGCTTGCGTGTACCGAAATGCCCGTGCACACCACAGCGCCTGTCTACACCACAGCATCCGCGTGGAACGCAGCGGCGGTGTACACCACAGCGCCTGCGTGCACAGGAAAAGTAAAAGGAGCATGTCGGTGAGAATATGCTGCAGACAACTAAACGCCACGCCAGGGAAATGCGGATAATAGAATGCAGCGTTCTTCCCTCCTCCCTCTTCCTCCACCTCTACCTCCCTCTCTACCTCCTCCATGAGACAGAGCGAGACGGACCACCCATGAGCGAGAGTGCAGCGAGCGAAAAGGATGCGGGAAATGAAAGAACAGTGGGGCACAGGGCTCAATGCTGCATAGCCACGGACCCTCCTCCTCATCCTCCTGTTCTACCTCATCCCGCTTTTCCTCCCCCTCTCCCCCTCCCCCCCCTCCTCCTCCTGCTCCTCCTTTCTGGCGCGCGGAACGCGCGCGGAGCGGCACCAGAGGCGCTGCCACTGGGCTACTGCGCCGAACCAGAAGCGCGCGCAGACCTCCCTTGAAATAACACGTTTATGATCGGTTCGGCACGCCCGCCGCTGGCCCGACCGCTTGTCGGACCCGACTCGCTGCAGACCAAACAACAAATGCCTATAATCCTCTCATCGCTCTGCCCTCGACTGTACCATCACACGCCAACAACACTGGTACGCAGACGCCGTGCGCATTATAGAACTCAGAGGGCATCCGAACAACACCAGGAAACCCGTAAATGGGGGGGTGCAATTGAACAACCCCCACGGCATAGGCGATGGAACGCAGGGAACGGGATTGAGAGGTCCGACATCGTCGCATCCTCCAGTCAAGTGGTTGTTGGTGGCTGGCTGGAATCAGCCGATCCCCGCTTGCCAGGTTTCAGAAGGCGTGTGAGATGATTGGTTGTCCCCCTCCCCGTTTCCTCCTCCCCCGAGGGTCCAACATCCCGTTTGAAGGGGGCGGGGGGGGGGTATCCGGGCTCGTCGGCGCACCCCTGGAGACTCCAGAGTTTCCAAATCGACCCTCCGTGGCCTGAAAGACGATCCAAGACGGTCCCGGATCGCTGAACGGTTGGCCCAGGACGCTTACGATGGCTCCAAGAAGTCCCAAGCCGCCTTCGAGACGCCCCAAGAGCATTCCTAGGAGGGCCCCGAGAGGCACACATTTGTGGTGTTCTGTGGGGTTTGACGGATGTGGGCGTTGTCGCCTTTTTAGTTTTTCGACGCTCCACGACGGCCCAAGCGGCCCCGAAGAGGCTCCCAAGGCAGCCCAAGAGGACTTTAAAAAGGCCCCGAGACAGCCTAGGGGTGCCCCTGAGACGGCCCAAGAGGCGCCCAAGACGGCCCACGAGGGCCTCAAAACAGCCCCAAAGACGTCCCAAGACGGTCCCGGATGACTGAACGATTGGCCCAAGTCGCATACGATGGCTTCAACAAGCCCCACGGCGCCTTCGAGACGCCCCTAAGAGCCTTCCCAAGAGGGCCCCGAGTGGCACAGAAGAGCCTTCCCAAGAGAGCCCCTAAGTAAGAGTTGTCCTTAGGTGTTGACGGATTTCGGCGTTCTCGCCTTTTCTGCTTGAGTCAGAGAACGTTGTTGAATCTAGTCGCGGCCTGGAACCCGAGTGGCATTGCCGATGCAAAGTTGCCTGTCCAGCCGCAGCGTTGCAGAGGCAGGCCACGGACGGCGTGGGACAGATTTGCAGGTTGACCCCCTCTTTTTCTCGCCCCTGCCCCCCTCTCCATCCTCTCCCCATCAAAGTGTTCGATGCCCCGCCATCGATGCAACAGCAGCAGAGATCATAAATGTGTAATGCATGTAATTTCGGGGATCGGCTGACCCAGATCAATCCAGACACGGGTCAGTCAGGCTTGCAGGATCCTGCAGGATTCTGCAGGACCCTGCACCCAACCCTGGGTCACTGCGCCGCCGGTCTGCGGGATCCTCCAAGATCCAGCGCCCTAGCTGACCACCGTTTGCATTGACCCCCGTCTCTTGAGCCCCGAAAATTCTTTGACTCCACGTCCGGTATCGGAGCGGGCTTCGTGCTCGTACGGGAACTTGCATTGCTTTTCTTTTTCTATTGTCCGACGCTTCGAGACAGCCCCAGAGGCCCCCAAGAGGCCGACAGCCCAAGGCGGCCTCCAAGAGGACGACCCGATGGCGCCCCAAGGCGGCCCAAGAGGCGCCCAAGAGGGCCCCAAACGGGGCTCAAACGAGGGAGCATGAACCGAAACTCCGAGCCTTCCGCCTTCTCTAACTTCCGACGCTCCAAGACGGCCCAAGACGTCCCGTAGACCGTCCCCAAACTCCCCAAGAAGCTCCCACGAGGACCCAGGACGGCCCAGAAAGGGGCCAACGAGGGCCCCAAGACGGCCCCAAGAGGGCCCCAAAAGGGAGAACACGAACCGAACATCCTGTCGCTCCCCCCCAAAAAAGAAGCCATCATAAGGCCCGACGAAGCCCCCAAAAGAGACCCCCAATTGGCCCCAAGGCCCAAGAGGTCCCAAAGAGACCCAAAACAGGCTCCTAAAACGGCGCTAAAACATTACCTCCAAGAGGCTCCGCAAAATCCACAAACACGCCCACAAAAGTCCCCAAATTATGCCCAAGAAACCCACGACGCCTAAACCGTGGATTTCCCGCCTCTTCTGGGGGGATCAGAATGGCGTGCGCCTCTTGAATCAATACCCCATATGGCACGACTAGGGACCAAGACCCCCCGACATTGTACGACTGACGCCTAATGGAGAGAACCAATGTCTACCACAATCCGGAGCCTCCCATGCGCGGTCAAGAACAATATTTCAGATCCATCCCGGGAAACAGAGTGTCAAACTCCACATCACAAGAGAAAGCCAAGACAGCTTGGCCACAAGCAATTGGGGCGCAGGGCCATGCGCGTGTGAATGGGCGGAAGGCGTTGGACAAGCACTGAGGGGGTGGGGCACTGGGTTCTGACACAAGGAAATGTATCCCTAGAAAAGCTGGGCCCTTAAAGAAATCCACGGGGTCCCTTCCACACGAGGGGCGTGAAAACCTGACACATGCAACGAGGCTCTGCATGTCGAGGCTCCCTGAAGTTGCGCAACATGTCGTTTTGACACGGGGTAGTCTTTCATACACCACTGCAGCACAGGGCCGCTTACGTACACAAAAGGGGGAACGCATGTCTGAGTTGCGTTGGTTTCCCGTGCGCATGAAATGCACCATTATGCTCCTCTTCCTCCTCCTGCACCTGCACCTCCTCCTCCTCCTCCACCTCCTCCTCATACTCAACATCACAACCACCGCCATCACCCCACCACCACCATTATCACAATCACTATCATCGTCACCGCCACCACCGTCGTCAGCATCAGTCATCATCATCATCATCATCATCATCATCATCATCATCATCATCATCATCATCATCATCATCATCATCATCATGATCATGATCATGATCATGATCATGATCATGATCATGATCATGATCATCATCATGATCGTCATAACCATCATCATAATCAGCTTCATCATCCTCATCAACATCATCATCAGCATCGTCAGCATCGTCGGCATCATCATCATCAGCATCACCACCAGTATCAGCATCAGCACCATCAGCATCATCAGCATCATCCGCATGAACAACATCAGTACCCTCATCATCATCCTGATCCTCATCATCATCATCCGCATACACATCATCAGCAAAGCCACCAGCATCGCCATAACCCTCTTTATAATACGAATCATTAACACCAGTATCATCACCATCACCATCATCATCACCAGCAACATCATCAGCATCAGCATCAACTTCACCATCAGCATCAGCATCATCACAAGCATACTCATCACCATCATCAGCAGCAGCATCACAATCATCATCCTCGAAATCAGCTTCCTCAACCTCATCCGCATCCTCTCCTTATCCACATCATCATCACCATCAGCATCATCATCACAAACATCGGTATCAGCATCATCATCATCATCAGCAACATCATCATCATCGTCATTCGCATCATCGTCAGCATCGTCAGCATCATCAACATTATCATCATCATCATCATCATCATCATCATCATCATCATCATCATCATCCTGATCTGCATCACCATCCGCGTCATCATCAGCATCAACACCATCATCAGCATCATCAGCATTAACATCAGGATCATCGGTACCACCACAGTCATCATCATCATCAGCACTATCATCATCATCATCATCATCAGCATCAGCATCAGCATCATCATCATCGTCAGCAGCATCATCATCAGCATCAGCAGCATCATCATCATCATCATCGGCATCAGCATCAGCATCAAGATTATCCACATCATCCTCATACTGATACTCAGCATCATCATCGTCAGTACTGTCATCGTTATCGTCGTCGTCATCATCATCAGCATCATCATCACCATCATCATCAGCATCAACATTATCAGCATTATCATCATCATCATCACCATCATCATCATCACCATCATCATCATCATCATCATCATCATCATCATCATCACCAGCATCAGCCCCTTCCTCGTCCCGTTCTCATTTTCAACATCCTCACCATGCCCCCTCCTTCTCCTCGGCGCCCCCTTCGCCGGGGGGGACCCGCCTCCGCGGCCGCGGGTCCCATCTCCCCGAGCGCCCTGGCGGCCTCTTGCAGAGGAGGAAAGGAATGCGGAGGGCGGACGCAGAGTAGGAGGGGAGGGGCAGTGAGGAAGAGAAAGGAGGAGGGAGGGAGGAGGGAGGAGGAGGAGGAGGAGGAGGAGGAGGCGGCGAAGGAGGGGAAGGAAGAGGGGAAGCAGGAGGAAGGAGGAGCGGAGAATAGGGCGTGAGAGGAGCGAGGAGGGGAGGAGGGGAGCACGAAGGGAGAGGAGGATGAAGGAGGAGAGAGGCAGGTATACTGCTGGGGAGTCTGGGACAGACGACCTCTCTACCTCTCACAAAAAGTCATAAGGGGGCAGGATGGGGAGAAGAAGGAGGAAGAATCAGATGAGGGGGGGAAGGGAGGATATGAAGAGGGAACTTGACATAGGAAACCACTCTCAGGTCTTCGTGGGTGCGGCTCAAGGCTACCAAGCCAGATGAAGGGAGCGATAAGCCAGGTAGGACCCGACTGGCCCATTTGTAGAGCACGATGGAGCCAGATTAGACGGGATTGAATGGGATTGAGCGTGCTGTATAACCGATGACCCTCAAACATACCAGCCCAGCACCGATGCTACATCTAACTAGCCAAGAGCTGCAATCCAGGGAGGAGGAAGGAAATTAGGAGAGGAAGGACGAGATGCTGAGATGATGAGGGAGGGAGAAGGGAGGAAAAAGGGAGAGCGAGTGAAAGGGAGGACGGAGAAACTTCAAGAGGAAAGCACGAAAGGAGGAGAGAGGGAGAGTGAGGAACGATTGGAGGGAGAAAAGAAGAGGAGAGGAGAGAGGAAGAAGGAGAAACGGACGAGATGATGAAAAACTGTAACCTAAGAGAAAAGGGGAACACGGGAACACCAGGCACCGGTCAAATCACACCCCTCCCGCACGACGCCCTGACGGCGTACACCGTCTCCATCTCCTTCTCGCCCTCCTCCTCCCCCTCCTCATTCTCTTCCTTGACTCACTCCTCCACCTCCTCCTCCTTCAATTCCTCCTCCTCCTCCTCCTCCTCCTCCTCCTCCATGGGGCACTCATCATTGCCCTCCTCCTTGCCCACCTCCTCCCCCTCCTCCTCTTCCTCCGGTCACTCCTTCTTGCCCTCCTCCTCCTAGCCCTCATCTTTGTCCTCGCCCTGACCGCGCTATAGCGACGACCCTCCTCGCCCCTGACACCGCGCGAGCGAGAAACAAAGTACCGGGACGAGCAGCGCCCCGCGAGGTGCGGCCGAGGCGCCGACGAGGCATAGAGCGGGCTCGGGGGAGAGCTCGGGGAGGGGGGGGGGCTGCTTCTCGGGATCCCTGACGTGGCGACTCATCTGGCGAGCTGGGCGCTGAGCAGAGAAAGGAGGGGGGAGCGACGGGACGGAGAGACGAGGACGAGGGAGGAGAAGCGGGGAGGAGTCTGAGGAGGGCGGGTCTGAGCAGGAGGAGGAGGAGGAGGAGAGGGAGAGCAATGAGGAGGAGGAGGAGGAGGAGGAGGAGGAGGAGGAGGAGGAGGAGGAGAAGGATGAGTACGAGCCTGGGCAGGGGGGGGAGCCGAAGGAGGCCGAGGACAACGAAGACGACGGCGACGAGGCGTGCCTCCCCCTCCTTGCCCTGGCCCTCGCCCCTCGCTTTTTTCGCGGGGCCGGTCGTGGACTGCCGTTGCTCGTGGCAGCGGGAGCAGCACGAGAGGGGCAGCGGCGCGTGGGCGAGGGAGGACAACACAGGCGAGGCGCTCGGCTGAGAGACACTTCGACCTCCTCCTCCTCCTCCTCCTCCTCCTCCTCCTCCTCCTCCTCCTCCGGGCTCGCTGTCCGAGAAGTCCCCCGAAAAGGCACCCCAACAGAGCCCAGCAGGTTCCAAAGTTAGCCCCGAGAATGGCTCCAGAGCGTCAGCGCCGTCGAGCGTCAAGCGTCGTCGTCGTCGCCCTTCAGGGTCGGCGGCACCAGCCGCAAGGCCTTCCCAATATAGTCGAGGCGCTGGACTAATGAACAACTCCGCGTGGGGAGGGGCTCGCTGGTCCTTAGATCCGTCCGTGATCGATCCTCTGATGCTCCTGATGCACTCACGCGCCCTTCTGGCTCAGAGAGCGGCACCGCTCCAAATGTCTTGGGCTCTGCATGATATCACGACGACTGCATGCCACCGTGAAACGGAACACGCACTGTATCCTTAGTCTCACACAGCAGTGCTGAATGCGCCAATGCTGAAGGTAACGAGTGAGGGAGAGGCGGACAAGGTAGGGGGAATAAAAAACGTAAGACGAATAGTAGGGAAGATGAGCATTGGCGCTGGCGTCCTAGCGTGGCGAAGGGCCCGGTTGAGCTGATGAGAAGGAGGAGGTGAGAAAGGAGGAGAAGAAAAAACGATGAAGCCTGGACACCGCGGCTTTCCCATCAAACCAATCCGTCATCCGGATCCGTTTCCTCAAATCCTATGTATGAAGATCTTGTAAGTATCGTGACGCCTCCGCCTCCCCTCTTTCCTCCTCCCCACCCTCACTCACACTCAGGTTCGCTCCCACTCAGACTCACTGACACTCAGACTCACACTCAGACTCGCTCATACTCAGACTCAATGCTCAGGCTCACTCCAGGCACACGCATACTCAGATACACTCATACTTAGACTTGCTTCTCACACTCAGACTAATGTACACTCAGTATCGCTCACGCTCAGACTGACTCACACTCAGACTCACCCACAAAAACTACTCACACTCAAGCTCGCCTCACATTCCGTTTGAAAGGATATCTCGAGCGAGGCGCTGGCTTCAGCACCCCAAAGGGGGAACCGCCAGGATATATTTCACGGGCCCATTCGCGCCAATGCAGTAGGGATGACTCAGGCGGGGTGCCTGTTTGGTGGCTTGGACTTCTTCGGTGCTTCCAAGACAGATTGTGAGGATATCTCGAGCCGAAGAGCTAGCTTCAGCACCCCTAGGGCGATACGCCACGGGGTATTTCACGGGCCCGTTCGCGCCCAGATTGTGGAGATGTCTCAAGCGGCTTGCTTGATTGGTACCTTGGACATTGATGGCGGCAGGTTCAGAACATGTCGCGAAGTTGTCTCGAGGGAGGCGCTTGTGTCAGCACAACAGGCGGCCAGATCGTGGGGATGTATCGAGCGAGGCGCTCGGTGTTGCACCTCCGAAGCCTGTCCATTCAGGGCCCCCCGTGATCACGTCGATGTGGGGAGAAGGAAGGCCGCAAGCACGGCGGAGGGGGGACGGAGGAGGAGGGAGGATGCAGGAATGGGGAGAAGGGAGAAGGGCTGAAGAGAAGTGAAGGGGCACGACGCGACGAGTAGTACGGTCAATAAGCGGATGGAGAGGGGAGGAGGCATGCTCACTGCATGTCTGTCTGTAAGTTGTCTGTCTGTGAGTTGTCGTCATCGATGTCCCTCATCACAGCCACTACCGCCGCCGCCGTCGTCGCACTCGTCGCCCATTAAGACTGGCTCTCATACCCAGACGCTCACGGCCAGACACTCACAGCAGGACGTGCCACGAAACGATAACGAGATGCACCTGTGAGAATATCCGCGTCGAATGGCTCACGGCCCTGGGTCCTAAGAGGGCCCCAGAAGCCCGGCAAAGTCGACAACACGCAAGAGTGACCCTGGGTGAAGGTGACCTGTGGTGCGCGGCTTTTTGGGCGCTACGGGGGGAACCACACACAGGTGAGCACGACGCTAGTACCGCATCACCTCCGGCGAGCCAGAGACCCCAGTGTGCCCGCACCAACGGTCACTTCGGCGAAGGGTCACTCTTACTCGTAGGCAACAGAGGCCAACGACCTCAAGCAGCATGTCCCTCAGAACCTGGTTCCTCCATGGCGGTTGGCGCAGTCTCCTCTTCTTTCTCCCGATCTCGCCAGCGCTCGGACGTCCATGCCCCGTGCATTGTTCGATTTCGCGCGAGCGCTTATGTTTTACAAGATGACTCAAGACGCGCCTCGATTGTCCTCGCCAGGAAACATGCACACGTCCGAGCGATGCCAAGTGGCCCCCCCTCGCCATAGCTCGGACGCCCGTGCCCTGTGCATTTTTCGGTATCGTGCGTGCGCTTGTTTTGCAAGCTGTTTCAAGACGCTCATCGTGCCTTTGGAAACGCGCATGCGGCCAACAATTGAGCCAAAGTCTGGGACATCTATTGGACTATGTGTTCCCCCAGCCGTTGTTGGAACCGTTTGGGGAATACGGGGAGGAAGAGACATGAGGAGAGGGAGAAGGAGGACAAAGGGAAGGAGGAGGAGGGGGATGAGGAGGAGGAAAGGGAGCCTCGCCGGGGAAAAAATGCCGAGTGATCTCCGCCCTGCGCTGGCCTGCTCGCGCACCCCCTCGTGCTCGTCCTCCAGGCACCGCATGAGCTGCAGCATCGCGCCCACGCCGTGCACGCCCGCCTTTGTGGATAGCGGCGCCTCCTCCCTCGTCCCCATCCTCATTCCTCCTCCCCCTCCTCACTTCTGCTCGCTGATCCTCCTCCTCCTCCTCCTGCTTCTCTTCCTCCTCCTCACTTCTTCTCCGCCTCCTTCTCCTCCTCCTCCTCCTCCGCCTCCTCCTCCTCCTCCTCCTCCTCCTTGTCCTCCTCCTCCTCCTCATCCTCACTTCCCCTCCTCCTCCTCCTCCTCCTCCTCCTCCTCCTCCTCCTCCTCCTCCTCCTCCTCCTCCTCCTCTCCTCCTCCTCCTCCTGCTCCTGCTCCTCCTCCCCCTCCTCACTCCTTATCGGTCCTCCTCCTCCTCCTTCTCTCCTCCTTCTCCTCCTCCTCCCCTCCCTCCTCCTCTCCTCCTCCTCCTCCTCCTCCTCCTCCTCCTCCTCCTCCCCGTCCTGTTCCTCATCCTCCTCATCCTTGAGCTCCTCATCGCTGCTCCTCGCGCCTCCTCTTCCTGCACCTCCTTCTCCACCTCCCCGATTGAGCCTGCTAGACGGAGCCCAGTGAAACAAAAGCATCCCATCTTCTTCACCCTTCCCCCACCCAGTTTTCGCCTTACGTTTGTTCCTCCCCATCCTCCCTCATCGCTCCTGCTCGCTCCTCATAGTCGCCCTCCTTCCCCGCACCGCCTTCCTCCTCTTCCCCCCTCCGCCTCCTCATCTTCACTCCCATCCTGACCGGTCTTCCTTTCACCGTTCCTCCTCCTCGCCCCTGCCCGCGCAACGTCCGCCTCGCGTATCCTCTCTTCCTCCTCCCTCCTCGACGTCGTCTTCCTCCGCCCTGACTGGGAATGGTCGGCAACGCCCATTCGAAAGACCTCCTCCCCCTCTTCGCCCTTCCCCCTCCTCCTTCTCACTCTTACACCCTGCTTCCACTCCTTTTTCCACATGGTTCATCCTCCTCGCACGCCTCCCTCCTCCTCTTCTCCTCCTCCTCCTCCTCCTGCACCACCTCCACCTCCTCCTCATCATCATCATCATCCTCATCCCTTCCTCATCCTCATCCCTTCCTCCTCCTCCTCCCCCCTCATCCTGACGTTACCTGCATACTGCTCCCCTTCCTTACTCATCTTCATTCTCGCTTTGCTCCTCCTCCTCCTCCTCCTCCTCCTTCTCTTCCTCCTCCTCGCTCATCCTCTCTTCCACCTCCTCGTCGCTTATCTTCGTCGAACTCCTTCTCCTACGCGACTGGATCTGTTCGGCAGAGCCTACTCGAAGAGGCCTTTTCCGACTCCTCTCCCTCCTCCTCCTCCTCCTCCTCCTCCTCCTCCTCAAACTTTTCCTACTCCTTTTTCTCCTCCGCGCCCATTTCCCCCCGCTCCTCCTCCTCCTCCTCCTCCTCCTCGTCCTCCTCGCTACCCAACCCCTCCTGCTCGTTCCTCGCTCCTCCAGTGCGGTCCTCACTCCTCGCACCCTCCCCCTCCCCGCTCCCACTCACCTGGCAACCCCCCACCTCCATCCCAGCCTCCTCAATCCATCCCAGCCTCCTCACGAATCCTCCTCGCCCCCGTCCAGCCGAAGCGCCCTCACCCCGACGTCGGGCAAACGGGAGACGCGCCGCGCCCAGGCAGAGGCGGCGACGGCACGGCCCTTCAGAGGGCGGATTCTGGCCTCCTGCTGGTGTCTTCCTTCCCTCCTTCCTTCCTCCTGACCCCTCCTCGTTCATCTGGCGACATCCTGGATGGGGTCCGAGTAGATGGAGGTCGGAGCATCGCGCCGCATCACCGATGTATCGCCGATGCATCGGCGATGCATCGCTGATGCATCGGCGGCGTCGGCGGTGCATCGGCGACCACTGCGCGGAGGAAAAAAGGCTCCACATCAAGCCGCATCGGCGATACATCGACGATGCGGTGTGATTCTCTGACCCCATCTGTGCTAACCCCATCCGGGAGACCTCGATCCTCGCACATCGCCCCTCCTCGCCCCTCCTTGCTCATCCTCTCCTGTCCCCTCGCTTCTCCTCGCTCCTTCCGCTCCTCGCCCTCCTCGCTCCTCGCCCCTCCTCGCCCCTCATCGCTCCTCATCGCTCCTCGCCCCCCCTCTCTCCTCGCCCCTCCTCTCTCTCCTCGCCCCTCCTCGCTCCTCGCTCCTCGCTCCCCCCTCGCGCCCGCCTTCTGCAGCGCGCCGGCGGCCGCCACGCGCACCTCCCCCCCCCCCCGCCGCGGGGGGAGGGACTCCGCGGCCGAAGGGCCCGGCGGCCGCCCCGAGAGGGCCGGGTCCCCGTGGCCCGAGGGCGACCGGCGGTCGTTGGCGGCGGGCCCTTCTCGCGGGCGAGGAGGAGCGAGGAGGAGCGAGGAGGAGCGAGGAGGAGGAGGAGGAGCGAGGAGGAGCGAGGAGGAGCGAGGAGGAGCGAGGAGGAGGAGGAGAGGAGGAGGAGGAGGAGGAGGAGGAGGAGGAGGAGGAGAGGAGGAGGAGGGGCGGCAAGACCGCTGCGAGGCGGGGACGTATCTGCACAGTCAACGCCGTAGAAGAAGGACGCTCCTCCTCCTCCTCCTCCTGTTCGACGTTGCGCGGACTTGCTGCACCAGCATGTTGCGTTAAACCTCGTCCTCCTCCTCCTCCTCCTCCTCCGCCTCCGCCTCCTCCTCCTCCTCCTGCTCCTCCTCCTGCTCCTCCTCCTCCTCCTCCTGCTCCTGCTTCTCCTCCCCCTCCTCACTCCTCCTCCTCTTTCTCCTCCGCCTCCTCCTCCCTCCTCCTCGGGGGGTGGGGGGGAGGAGCGGGGTAGGAGGAAGGCGGGGGGAGGGATATTTCCATACAGGTCGGGCCCCGCGACGGGCCCTTGGAGGCCTCGGCCAACCACGGGGGCGCGAAAACATCCGCGCTTCGCGCGTCGCGGCCTGGGCCGCAGAAGTGCTCTTCTCCGGGGTGGCGGCGCGAGGGCGCGCAGACACGCGCGCAACGCGGGACGCGGCCCGCGGAGGCCACTCGGGCGACCTGGGCGGCCAGAGTCGGGGAAAACGCCGGGATTGAACGGATCGGGCCTTCGCAGCTACAGCTAACCCGTATAATAAGGACGCAAGATGAGGATGAAAAGGGCCTTGGAAGGCCTTGTCCGCACTCTGCGAGTGGGGCGCGGCCAGCGATGGCGGCCGAGGACGGGCCGACGGGGACGGACGCAAGGGCAACCTTGGAAAGTCGCTCATCCTTACTATCCGGTGCGCACGCTGGCGGCAAAACCACTGCGAGGCGGGGAGGCACAGTCGGAATATCTCGTGAGGACGGGCGGTGAGGGCGCAGGGGCCTTGGACGCTGGAGCTGGCACTTTTCGGGCGGCGGACTGCCAGCACCCGTAGGGGCCGACCAGTGAAGACCGCGCAGGACGGGCCGCAGATGGCAGGACGCGAGGGTGCCTCGAGGACACCCGTGCGTCCACCGGCTGCCGAGGTGCCCACCGCCCGCCGAGGTGCCCGACGATCGATCCCCGGGCCGAAGATCTATATCCCCCGAGGGTTAGCTTGACCCAGCCAGATCCACCGCCTGGGGAACCGACGCCCAGGGACCCCATGCGGGTGGTGTCTATGGATATGTTCCGGCCCTCGGGGGCCCGAACACATCCGCATCTACCACCCGCCGAGGTGCCCGAAGATCGATCCCCTGGCCGAAGATCAATCCCCAATGGGGGACCTTGATATAGCCACATCCACCGCCTGGGGGACCGACGTCCTTGGACCCCAGACCCCAGCGGGCGGTGAATAATGTGAGATGATGATTAAGAATAGACTGTAAGGCTAACGAACAACAAGACAATTTCTGAATCTTCGGTTTCCGCTTCGCTTCGGCTCCGTTTGGCCCGTCGACCGTCCAAGCGGGAGCCTGCAAAGGCGGGACTGGGGCGGGAAGATGTTTAAAATAGCTTCCCGGCCCAAAGCCCGCTTTTCTAATCATCATCCCGGGCGCCGCCCCGTGAACACGATCCCTGGCACCTTGTGAGTCATCATCCTGCATAATGAATGTATTCTGGCCCCAGGGAACCTGGATATATCCATATCCCCTGCCCGCCGAGCTCACCGAAGATCGATCCCCCAGGCGGTGGTTATGTATAGACCCCCGTCTCGGAAGCACCACCAACGCGCGGCGCCAGGGAGGGCCCTCAGAGGAAGACAGCATGGCATGACCATAAGCTGTCGGACATCCGCGCAGGTTTCTCGGATCGGCGCTGGAGCCCCTTGGCGGTGCCTCCCCCGTAGCATCCTGGCCCACTGAAGCACTCTGTGGCCACATCAGGGCTCTCTGGGTCCATCCAAGGGCGCCTTGCGCCTGGTGCCTTCGGAGGGCGGCCTGGGGGCCGTTCTGGGCCGTCTTGGAGTCATTTGTTGCGCAAAGATGCAGCATCGCGAAACATCGCGACTGGGGCCCTAGACCCAATCATCGTGCGCAATTTTTCCAGCCGGGTCGGTCTACGAGGGTCCTGGGACCTGGAGACGGGCGAAAACGCCCCTTGCGGAACAATTGCGACGCCCGGATCTCAGGTACTGGCGATCGACCGCCAATGGGTCGCAGATGGAACGCCGAAGACCAGCGATCGGCCGCCAATGAGCCGCCGATGATGGGCCGATTTCTCACCACCACTACCAGAAGCAGGAGGAGAAGGAAGAGAAGGAAGAGGAGGAGGAGGAGGAGGAGGAGGAGGAGGAGGAGGAGGAGGATAAGGATGAGGAGGAGAAAGAGAAGAAAAAGAGGAGGACCTCCACATCCTCCTCCCCCGTCCTGCCTTCGGCAGCGGTGGTGGAACATCGGCCCCATCCGCCGACGGGCGGCCGTCTGAGGGCGCCTGGCCGTCGGCGTCCTCGAGGCAGCGCGCCAGGCTGGGCACGGCCTCCGGCACGTTCTCCCAGCAGCGGGCCCTGGAGCACAGCCTGCCGAGGGACTCGGCGGCGGCCCTGGCGGCAGGGGCCCCCCGTCCGACGACGGTCGCCATCGTGAGGGGCAGCGCTGGGGCAACTTCGGTGGCAAAGCGCGGGAGCCTCCCATGCCATCATGCTGGCTCTTGCGAATCGACGCTGACCGACGGTCATCGCCGCTACGTTACGCTAGCCGACGCCGACTCGACGCTGAGTCGGCGCCGTAGCATCGATTACCAGACGCTAATCGACGCTACGGCGCCCTAAAAACGAAATTGCGAGGGTTAACAGAGCTCCCATGATTTGAACCGAAGGTTACGTTATGGGGAGGATCGAAGTTTCGAGGGGTCATGCGTGGGAAGGAGATTTCCGACCTCACGGCGGTTTGCCAGCCTCGAGGTGCATTCCAGCGGCTGCGCCCTGCCGAAAGTCTCCCGTGGGTGCCAGAATCGTCCCGAATGGCCGCTGGAGGCCCAGGTTAGGACCCCCAAACTAGGGAGCCCACAAAGGACGTACGCGCCCAGCTATGTACATGAACACGGCCCCTTGGCCCGCGAGACCTGCCGCGCGATACGAACATTCGCGCAATGCGAACTCTCCAAACCAGCGTGGATTCATGTACATGTACGTCCTTCTTTCGCTCCTGACAAACAACAAGCAGGCTTGATGGGCCTGTTTTCCACCACCACCACCATAAGTAGGAGGGGTACGAGGTCCTCCTCCTCCTCCTCCTCCTCCTCTTCTTCCTCCTCCTCCTCCTCCACCTCCTTCCCCCTCAACTTATGATGGTGGTGGTGGAAAACGAGCTCATCAAGGCTGGCCCAGGGGAGGTAACATCGAGCCGGCAACGGCGACGCCCCGCCGATGGATCGGCGACGGGTCCCCGATGCGGAGCCCGCAGGGCCCTGCATCGGGCGGGCTAGCGGGCCCCACTCGGCGAGGCACGAGCGATTTGGGGGTCGACGCATTCCCCCCTGAGCGAGTAGGACCATGTTTGAGGTACCGGAATGATCATTCCGACTGCCCATCGGAGCGTCGGGGAGTCGGGGAGTCGGCCAGTCGGGGAGTCGGGGGGGAGTCGAGGAGTCGGCCAGTCGGGGAGTCGGGGAGTCGGGGAATCGGGGAGTCGGGGAGTCAAAGAGTCGGGGCAACGGGGAGTCGGCCAGTCAGGGAGTCGGTGGGTCGGGGAATCGGGTCGGTGGGCGACTCCCCGACGCCCCGATGGGCAGTCGGGAAGTTCACTCCAGTACCTCAAAAATTGTCCTACTCCCCTGAGCCCATCGCCCCTCTAATCAACACTGCTCCTGACGTCGCCGCCGCCGCCGTTGTCGATAATCGTCGACGCCGCACTTGGCGATCGCTTCTCCTTGTCGACATCGACGTCGTGGTCTCGTCTTGGGGGCGGCCAGGGGGTCTGAACTGGTTGGGACCCCAGAAAATCGGTCAGGAGTGGGGTTTGAAACCAAATCCGCTCAAAATCGATCCCTGAATCCCTTCCAGGGTCAATCTGGTTCAGTTGTTTAACCGTCGTGTTTCACGGTTCCAGGGTCCGAAGACGGCCCCTGGAGGCCGAAAAAGGCAGAAAACTTCCGAACCCAGGACCTCGGACCACGATTAAGGGCGATAAAACCTGATTAAGGTATTTCACCGGATAAGGCCGGACTAAGCCGGATTAGGCGGGATTAAACCGAAGTAGGCCGAATTAAATCAAATTGAGCCGACAACTGACAGCGAAAATACGCGCGCCGACACAGAATTCAAACTCCTACGAGATGCATCCTAGACCACCGCTGGGCCACCTCAAATCCTCAGAGGCTCCAACGTCTCGTCGTCGTCCCGTTACCCCCCGTCCGTCCCCTTTTCTCCATCGGCTACACGCAAGAGTGACTCTGGGCAATAATGATATTTGGTGCGCGGTTTTGCTTAGGGCCGCGGGGGGACCAAACACAACCGCGCCAGACGCTACTTTGGACGCCCGAGTTATCCGGGGTAACTCGGGTCCGGGGTAACTCGGGCTTGGATTCCCGAAAAAGGAACCCGAGTTATCCCTGACCCGAGTTACCCCTGATGATTCTGGGGCTCTGGATGCCCGAGTTATCCGGGGTAACTCGGGTCCGGGGTAACTCGGGCTTGGATTCCCGAAAAAGGAACCCGAGTTAGCCCTGACCCGAGTTACCCCTGATGATTCGGGGCTCTGACTACTGTCGCATCGCGTTCGCCACACGGGGGGACCCCGGTGGGCCCGCACCAAAAGTCGATCCGGCGGAAGGTCATTCCTACGTGTAGTCGACTCCACCGCGCGCGCGCGGGAACGCGCGCGCGGGAGCGCGCGTGCGGGCCCTCGGAGCTGGGCACCGCGGCAGCGGAGCAGCAGCCGGGCGAGGAGCACCGGCGGGGCAAGCAGCAGGCGGCAGCGGCGCTCCGCGTGCGCGCGCTCATATTTGGAGGCACTGTGCAGGGCAGGATACTGGCCCAAGGGGTTCCCCCCTCTTGTTCCTCCTCCTCGATATCATCCTCCTCCTCCTCCTCCTCCTTCCCCTCCTCCTACTCCTGCGCCTCCTCCTGTTCTTCCGACCCGTATGCATGTAGGCTCAAGACGCTAGACTCTCAGGTGATTGAAACGGAAGCCATGGCCTCTTGGATCTGGTGCGTAGGAGAAAACACAGACATGCAATGGAACTGCGAAACACATTATAATATCACAAGCGGGGGGAGGAGAAGGAAGCCTGGGTTGTGGATGAGGGCGTCATGCTGCGTCAATGTAGTGATGCTCGAGGGTCGACCAGGTTGAGATGTCTGGAGCCAGGTGGACCCAGGTGAGATCGTTCTGCTGACCTTTGACATTTTTCATGAAAAACACCACATCTCTCCAGTCCGACTGCCTGTCGCACGCAGCCCCACGCAGCCTGTCAGGCCCGACGCAGAACCCTGGACACGCACAGCGAGGAAAACGCATGTGTGGCGGAACCGGTGCATCGGTGCAACACCATCTGCGCGAGGAGGAAACTAGAAACGTCTTATTAGGATAAGACGACAAGATGTTAGCGACGTGTGTGCATCAAACCCCATATGGTCCCGTCGACCCCTTTTACAATGAGAGGCACCACACAACGGCACAAGAAAGGAAGACTCACACTGCACACTAAGAGACACAACTCGTGCGGCGGCGCGGCTGATAGAACATATCCCCAGAATCCGATCAACTCAGAGGCGGAAGCGGCAACGAGAAGAGGGAGGGAGGGAGGCGGGCGGCGGGGAAGGACGAACAACGGGTAAAAGGGGGGAGGGAAGTATAAGTGCGCTTAGAACCTGAATCAAACTATGGGTTCGTAACCGACAGGAGCAGCATCGACCTTGAAACGGATAGGTCGAGCTTTGCGAGGTGGCCCAATCCACGACGCCAAGCCAAACGGCAACGAAATGTATTAGAGCAATTGAGAGTAATAATTGAGATATGCCAAGCTGCCGCGATAGGCAAACGACCGAAAGGGAGGAGGAGGAGGAGGAGGAGGAGACGGAGCAGAAGGAGGAGGAGACGGAGGAGGAGAGGGAGGAAGAGAAGGAGGAAAGGAGGAAGACTGCACGCACCCACGAAGAACTCCGCGCGACCAACAAAAACTGAAACGCCCATGAAATTTCCACCTGTGCGACTGGTCCAAAAAAAAGGGGGGCCGGCCGAGCCACGATCTCCCACAGCACGCAGCGCTGACTACTGGCCCTCCGCAGTCCAGATCTGGACCCCCGCGGGGCCGAATTGGGGGGAGGGAGGACGAGACAGGCAGAGGAGAGAGAAAGCAAGCAAACCCCAGAAGGGCTAGCCGGCGTTCTGCCTCCAGGAGGCGGACGAGGAGAACGAGGACGAGGAGAGCGGCGGCCAGCGACGGACCTCGCCAAGTAGCCTGGGACCGTCAGGCCTCGTCTAACCGTGCAGCATCTGGCGCGCCAGCACAAACACACACGTCCAGATTCGCGCGGCACGTGAGCGGACAAATCCTGCCCCCACTGGCCAGAACAAGTTGCGGCCACGCCCACAGGACAGCTCAGGGCGAGCCCCTCGAGAACCCGACCGAAGATAGGGGTTTGGGCCTACGGACTAGGGCGGAAAAGCCTTCAGTTATTCCCTTAAGCTGAAACGCGACGCTGGGGATCCGACCGAGGCATGTAACACGCTGGACGCAAAACGTATCGACGAAGCGCGCGTGCGAAAGGCGCCCGGGGTCGATGTTCCTGAGAGGGAAGGACGAGAGGAGGACTCCTTCTCTCGTCCTCCTCCTCTCTTCCTCTCCTCCTTCTCTCGTCCTCCTTTCCTTAGAGGGAAGGACGAGAGAAGGACTCATCTCCACCTTCTCAGAAAGAGGAGAGGAGACGAGGACGGACGACGGGGGGGAGGAGCGGGACCGCTCCCGACAAGCGCCTGCCGACGGCGCGCCGCTCCCCTGCGGGCATCAGCGTGCGCGGCAGGGAGCGAGACCGAGCAGGCAAGCTGTCCAGCGGCTGCGCCGAGCAGGCGTCGCGGATGGCCGCTTTGAGAACGGCCCCGGCAGCCGCAGCTTCGACCACGCGGTGGCGGCTCGCCAAGTGCGTCCGGTACAGCGCGTGACGGCGGACGGCCCGAAGAGCGTCGAGCTCCTGCCGCGTTCTGCGCCGCCCCTGCTCGCGCGGAGCTCGCGGAGACGCACAGGCCCAGAACAGGAGGCAGGCACGGAGAGGTTGCCGGCCGCGACAGACAACAGCGCTCCTCCCTCCACCCGTGGTAGCAGCTGCAGTGGGCGCAGTGCTTGATGCTGGCCACGCCCTGGGCGCAACAGAGAGCGCAGCGTCCAATCTGCTGGAAACGCCGCCTGGTGACCCGCCCGCTGAAGGCGGTGCGCAGGGCCGCGGCCAGGACGCAGGGCGGCACGAGCGCGCTGAGCGCCTCCATGCGCGACCGGAATGCTGCACCCGCGCCCCGGGAACCACGTCATTTGGTAGACAAAACCTCGCCTGAACTCAGCGGTGTGAGTGCTCACGCCCTGGAGGCCCACCTCGTAGAGTTCGAGAGGCTTAGAGCTCCAGGATTCAACCCAGGTTGTTTCGTCACTTTCTCATCGGCACTCCTACGCTGCCAGGAGTCCCCAATGTTCCCAATATTCTTCCTCTTCCGCTCCTCCTACTCCTTCGGGTGGCGACGCAAGTCACGAGCCCTCCCCCACCCGCAACGCGATCAAGATGTGGAGCAGCTGCAGGAGGATGGCGTGCAGCGAACCCACCACGCTCCTCCTCCTGCTCATCCCTCTCCTCCTCACCCCCCTCTGCTTCCCCAGAGACCTCCGTATTGATGGTTCTTCATATAGGGGTCCCCTGGCAGTCCCGACCCTCTCCCCGCAGCCGGCGTCGCATCATGAGGCGTTTCTTGGCGGTCCTGTCGGTCCAGGCGCGGGCCTTACACTTACAGAGACGACCCGGCGCCTCATCAGAAGCAGGGGTGTTTCTAGGAAGCCCCCCCCCCCCCCCCCCCCCCCTCTCCGCGTGACAGTGTATTGATTCAGTCGATAACCTCGGTTGGTCTTTAGACCCCCCCACTAGTTGGACACTGATTCTCTTGTCGGCGACCTTGACAATGAACTGGAGTCCCATCAATAGTGGCACGCAACAAGAATAGGAAGAGGAGGACGAGGAGTAGGAGGAAGAGGAGGAGGAGGAGGAGGAGGAAGAGGGACGAGTTCATTCCCCGCCAATGGAAACAGGGGGGGAGCAACACTAAAAAACCTCCCGAGGTTACGGGGTCCCTGAAAGACACCACCCTCTCTCCAACACCAGCGTGCCATCCCGAAACGTCGTTTGCCGTCTCTGGGCCCTCTCGGGGCCCTCTTGGGGCCCTCTCGGGGCCCTCTTGGGGGTCTCTGGGGCCGTCTTGGGGCGATCTTGGGGGCCTCGTGGGCCGTCGCGGAGCGTCGGGAAACCGAACGGGCGAGAACGCACAAATCCTCCGTAAACCGTAAACCCATGGACAATCACTTTCTGTTGCCTCTTGGGGCCCTCTCGGAAGGACTGTTGGGGCGTCTTGGACGCCTTGATCCTGTCGATACGGGGTCCCTGGAAGACCCCGCCCTTTGGTCCCGAAACGGTGCGGTGACAGACCGTGCGGTGACCTCGAAATCCCTGGAGATCTCACCGCACGGTCCGTCAACGCACGGTTAGCTCTCCACCTTCGAGCCTCCACAAGGCGGCGGCCCTGCACGCATGCGCAAAGAAGCGAGGAGGGGGAAGGAGTCTGACATCGCTTCACCCTCGTGAATCCGAGTTTTGGGACCTCGGATGCCCCAGTCGCCCGAGACGTCCTCGGAGAACGACCCGAGTCCCGAAACCGTGCGGTGATCCCGAATCCCCACCGACTCACTCACCACGTGGTGTGGTCAACACCCGCTGGGGGGTCCAGTGGAGTGACGCCTCCCGCGGACCACCAGGAGATTTCGCCATCCCTGGTGGGCTGCGATCTGCGAAGCTGTCGGCACGTTCGACGGCTGCTGGGGGCTGCAGGGAAGCGACGTCTTACCCACATTCGGATGAGACGTCGCCATCCATTCGGGTCGGGCGAAAGGGGGGGATAGCAAAGGGGGGGGTTGAAAATCAGCTCACGTAGCTGACTTTCCCGGCGCCTCCCGGCGCTGGAGGCGGCTATGTATCTAGGAATGGGCCCCTCGGTGAAGCCGAAACTAGCTGCATGCAGCAAATTTCGTAACCCCCCCTTTCCCAATCCCCCTCTTTCGCCTGGCCCGATCCATGCGGGGGTTCGATCTGCGAAACTGTCGCCATTGGGGGGCCCCCGACGCCCTCTCCCCGGGGCCAGCGCCCCCACCTTGGTCGTCGTCGGACGGGCCCCCCCCCGCGGCGCGGCCGGGTGCCCTCGGGGGCAGCGCACGGGGGACGCACCCTGCGCAGTTGTCTTCGAAGGCGGGTCGGATGTCGGGGGTCCCGTGCCACGATGATCGAGGATCCAGACGGGGCGGAAGAGGCGAGCGGGCCGGAGGAGGGAGCAGGTCCCGGCTTCCCAGCCAGGGGGGGGGGACGGAGGAGGAGAGGAGGAGCACGAGACGCAGGAGGAGGCGGAGGCCCCCCGTCCTGAGGAGAGAGGAGGAACAGGAGGAGGAGGAGGAGGAGGAGGGAGGAGGTCCCTCGTCCTGAGGAGAGCGGAGGAGAAAAAAGACAAGTAGGTGGAGGAGGTCCCTGGTCCTGAGGAGGAGGCGGGAACAAGAAGGAGGAGGAGCTGGAGGAGGTCCCTCGTCCTGAGGAGGAGGGGGTACGAGAAGGAGGAGGAGGCGGAGGAGGAGGAGGAGGAGGAGGAGCAGGGAAGAGGCGCTCCTGCGGAGGTCGCTGCACTCGTCGGCAAGGGCCACGATGAGCGCCTGGGCCGGGGCCCGCCGACGCCGACCCACCCCGCGACCCCGCCCACGCAGCGATCGAACGAAAAGACGCCACCACAACGAAGGCTGTCACAACTATCGGGGGTGGACAGAACCCCCAACAGTGACACGTCGATTAGTGAATTGTCCATTTTCGGTTCTCGAGAGGGTGCCGTGGCCGTTATTTTCCAGGCTTGCGCCCGCCAGGTTTGGGCCTCAGGTCGTTTTCACTAAACCACGTTTTACTAAAGGGAGGTTTGTCCATCCCCGAAACTACGGGGATGGGCGCGTAGCGCCGTGGCGCTCAGTGCGCGTTCTCGACGAGCCCTGCTTGTAGACACGATGCCGTTGCCTCTCAGGATGGTGCACTCATGCTCGGGCGTAGCTCAGTGACGCCCGCCGGAGGGCGACGAGATCTACACACATCCACTCCCCCTGGCCGGGCCCATCCTGGGCCCAGGAGCGGCGGTGCATACCCGGCAGCGGGCGGCGAGCCCAGGGGGGGAGGTGAGATGCGGACAGGCCTTCTCAGACGGCGGCGGCACTACTCAGAAGCCCTCGAGCCATCGGAGAAGCCGTGCAAGCCTTCTGCGACGCCGCAGACGGCTGTTCAAAGGCGCGAGGGCTTCTGAGAAGCCCCGCCTTCTGAGAAGGTCTGCCCCCTGACGATGCCGACGACGACGACGACGACGTCATCGTCATCGTCATCGTCGTCGTCGTCATCGTCATCGTCATCGCCATCGACTCCCCCCGCGGGCTCGCCGCTGACATACGCCCTGCTGGCCTGGCCAGGGAGGCATAAACACCACACATTGGCACAGCGGACGCGTGTAGAGTGTAGACCTCGTCGCCCGACCGCCAGGTCACTCCGCGAGCGGAGACGCCCCCCGTGCGGCAGTCGGTGGCCGTGGCCGCGGCTGTATCGGCGATCGCCGCGGGCCATCGCGGGGGCCCGTCGGACGCCTTCTCCGCAGGCCCAGGCGAGCCCAGAATCGAACCGACAAGCCGGATCGGCGATCGAGATGAATCGGACAGACGGGGATCTGCAGCCAAGTCCAGAGGAGTCGAATCGGCTGAGATCCACAGACCAGCAAGGCCTCCACTGAGGAATCATTGCGGTCCAAGTCCGAACCCAAAGTCGAATCGACTCGGCATCGGACGCCATCGGAATCGAACCGAATCGAATCGGAGGAGCCGAAGTGAACCCTGCAGGCCTGCCCGACAAAGGGCCGCCGAGGGCCGGTCGAGGGGCCGCCCGGTGCGCCGCTCCCCCCCCGACGGGCGCCTCCCGCTCCGGCTCCGCGCGGCCCAGCAGCCCAAGCCCGCGCGCCGACGCGACGCGCACGATGGGGACGGGGTCGCGGAGGGCCTGAGCGGCGGAGGGGGGCGCTCCTCTCGAGGCGCTGCCTTCCCCCCCCATCACTTTCCCCTCCGCCCTCCCCCTCCTCCATCCTCCCTCGTGCTTCTTCCCCTCCCTCGTCTCTCGTCACTCCTCCCCTCCCCGATCCTGCCTCCCACCCTGTCCGCCCTCCCCCTCCTCCGTCCTCCCTCGTTCCTCTTTCCCCTCCCTCCTCTCTCTTTCTCCTCTCCTCCACTCCCCGGTCCTCCCCGCAGCCAACTCCCTGGCGGAGGGAAGCGGTCCAGACGTGCCCGAAATGGAATAGTCAACATTCATCATGTCGGTGTGTGAAAATCGCCTGCTCCCCAGCTGACGGGAAGGGGACCTCTCTCTATTGCAGACAACCAGCCAGGGAGGAGGAGGAGGGGGAGGAGGCTGCACATCGCTTGTCTTGCACCAACACCAACGCGGGGGGTCTGTCTACACCAGGGCGGGAGACGATGATCTTAGATCTTGGTGCTGGTGGTAACCTTCCGTGCGCCCAAGAAGCCTAGCCATTACCACCATCACCGACATCGGGATCAGATTCCCTCGGTGGAGGCAATCATCGACACAGGTATTGGTGCCAACCTGTAGGACACAGCGGTGGAGGGGAACCCAGACACTCTCGCGTTGTAACAAGCATCACGAATGAACATTTTGACAATTCGGCCTCCGAGGGCCCTCGCCAGGCCAAAGAACAATCAAAAAAATACTCGGGATGAAAACATTGCCCTGGGAAACGGGTACCCGACCCCGCATTCACAAATTAAGACATCGGATGTCTGGGAACGCTCCTCCCACCTTAGAAGAAGCGGGTCTGGGGAGGGAAACGTACCCTCGACCCCGAGGCCCTGCCCCCCAAGCCCGCCCTTCTTCACCCGAGGCGCTCTTGTTGAGAACCGAAGGCCCGGAACCGGACGAAACTCTTTAGAAACCGCTGTCACAGGACCCACTCTTCTCTCCTCCATCCTCCATTTGTTTCCCTTCTGAACGACTCTTCTGTGTCGCACCCCAAAGACAGTCGGAAGGGCGGGCCGCGCGTTTCGCCTGAAATTTCCTTGCCCCCTACGACCCCGAAATTCAAATATTGAGAATTATTTCGCATGTTCAAAGCGGGCCACTTCCAAAATGTGGTTCTCGCTTTTCCGCCACGGGTGTAAGGAGCTTCACGGGTTGAGGGCGGGCCGTTTTCAAAATGTGGTTCTTGCCCCGCCGACGCGCACATTCGTTTTAAACATTCGCAGTAGATTCACGTTTTGAGGGCGGGTCGTTTACAACATGCGGTTTGTTATGGCAGCGCCGCGCCACTCGTGTTAACCATTTGCGATAGTTATACCAATGAATGCCAATTTTTTTTCAAGGTGGGGTGTTCGCCTCAGCCCTGCGCACGTTCGTTCATAATCGTTGCACGAGACGAACGAAGGTTAACGGGCAGCAAATTCATTGACTGGTAATGCTGAATTTCGAACAATGGTTGTCCGCCGCGAGTCATGGTCGTCAATATGCAAACAGCATGTTGACTCGGGGCGCGAAAACCCCGGAGTGGTGTTTTGGCACGCTCCAAAATATTCAACATGGTTGCGCCCCTACGGGACATGTCCCTCTTTGGAAAAGGACCCCGTGCATGGCCCTATGGAAAAATTCTGGGGGGCGGTTTATCCCAACATCGTTGATGAGACTTGCGTTTGCAATTGTCCTCCTCCTCGTCCTGTTCCTGTTTTTCCTCCTCCTCTTTTTTTCCGAATCCCCAGCCTGGCAATGAAAGTGAGCGGGCCTTCTCAGGCTCGGAAGGTCGTCGGGCTTTCTTCCACGAGTGCATCGAACACTTGTCAAAAGGCCAGAAAAAATTCAGAAACCCCGCCGGAAGGCGGCCACCAAGGACCCGACCAGTCGGGCGCCGTCGGGCACGGTGCCGCGGCGGGGCAGGCGGCGCAGGCGGTCAGGCGTACTGGGCCGCGCCGCTGGAGCTGCTGGCCTAACAGCTCGAGAACCCCCCCGTCTGGCGCGGGGGGCGGCAATCGCGCGCACAGGTCAGTCGCTGGACCGACGACGGCAGCGGGGGGCCTAGCGCCGCGTACCCCAGCTGCAGCGCGTGCTCCATGCACTGCCGGCTGGGGAATGGCGCTCCGAGCTGCTGCAGGGCGAGCTTGGGCAACAACGTTTACGGACGCATGGCCGCGCAAGAGTCCTGCCGTTCTGATGCGCCAAGTCGCTGAGGAAACCAATCATTCACGTGCACGCGCAAACGTTGCATGGTGGAGGTGCCGGCATGATCCCACGCCCAGTATCCACGACAGGTGTCAACGACGGGATTGACAATGTTGAGTCTGCCGTCGCGTAAGCCCACTCGTTGTGGAATATGGGGCGTCTTGGAAACCTTCCGCGAAAGAACCTAAAGTGTAATTTGCGGCTCCCCTTCCAGATCACCGCGAAATCGGCACTCTTGAACGCTGCGACGCTGGACTGGCTGTTGAACCTGGACCAGTCTGGCAGAGCGCTTGGACCAATACCGAGGTTCGAAGATCAAAGTACGGCTCATGCAACTATAGGCGCTCGGCGGCACCTGCCGTGCTGGTACATTGTTTCAGACGAGAAGGGCGCGCCCGGGGCGGGGCCGGTCGCGCTGCCGAGACAAATCCGCGACGCAGTCGCACCATCCATCCACGCCGAGTCAGACTGCCCTCCGCCTGGTTCAACATATTCAAGGGGGCCCCACCAGTCCAAAGGCATGGAAGCATCATGACCTGTTGGCCAACTGACAGGTGAGGCGGATCGGCATTCACCAGCGACGTTGTCGCATTATTTTATGTTGTAGTCCTGTTTGCATGCTTCGCATTTCCAATGCGCCGAAAGCGCGCCGCAGTGTCGGGCATGTGCGAAGATCTCTAGAACGCGTGGGGCTGTTGGCTCTTGGCTCGGGAACGTCCGGCACGCCCGAGGCAAACGCATCCGCCTTGCGGGGCCCTGCCGAGAAAAGGTGGCCGGGCGGCCCAGGCCCCTCGGACTGGGCCCGCGCCGCAAGTTGCTGCGGCATGGGAATGTCTACTTCGGTCAATGTTTGCCAGTTCGCGTTTCCTCAAGATGGCTGGCGCCATGGCACCGCTATCCTCGGCAATATTGTGGCGTCGAATAACGCGCGGCGCAGATTATTGGCGCATTGGGCGGCCGTCGCGAGCTCGTTGCTTCTGGGTTCGCAGTGATCCCTCCGTCCATCCCACCGATATTGCTGCAAACGTATGAACAACATCGGGATGCTGGCAGCAATGTCGGTCGGTCCCTGCATGGGTATACTATGACTACCCTGGAGATTCGCCATGCGTCAGTCGAAATTCGCTCTGCAATATTGAGACCCATTTTGCGCGCGGGCCCGTGGCTGTATCTGATTCACCGAATGATCGGCGCACTGTTCCTGCATCCGCAATCGGCCCAGTTGGTCATGAAATAGGTCGACACTGCCGCGGAATCGGATGCGCGATTGGGTCACCTTCATGGCGGTCTTCCACAAATGGCAGTTCGCCCTGCGATTGCAAGACGAGCCCAGGTTGTTCGTCCGTCGGTTGGGCTGGGCAGTCGTGACTGGTACAATGCGCGTTTCTGGACATTGACGAACAGCGCGTTGGACATCTGCTGCACCCCAGTCTTCGAAGGCGGTCACAAAGTGGAGATTCCTGGCCGAAAACCACCCCAAGCATAATTATGCAACCTCAGGAATGCCACCATTTCTTCCGCAGAACTCAGGAATATCTCAACGCCCGACTGGCCCAAAGCAGGATGACATGACATTATGATCATGGGCATGTCAAGGTGCGCCGCGGGTGTAGATGTCAATGGCGATGACCTCGTAGTCGTTATGGCCGTTGCTACTATCGCGGTCTTCAGAGCGTACATAGTACATAGTACCGGACCACGAGGCCCCAGCCGGGCGTCTTCGGGTCAGATTCTCGGTTTGACGAAGGGTGGCGTCACAGTCGCCAGCGAATGTATGAACACTTCCTGGATGAGGCGATCCGTCGAATTCGTGTGTGTTGCTTGTATTCGCACGCTGCGCTGCTCAGTTTTGCCATCGCATTCGATTGCGCGCTCCTTGATACCAAGAGAACATGTGCATGACAATGCGGGTGGTAGTATGCTCTGGGCAACGGCGATATGGATGAACGCGCCGCCTGGCGTGGCACCAGTAGCATCAATCTCGGCCACGCAAAAGCGGGGTGGAAAATATTGGCGCAAGCCGCGCGGATGCCGCCTAAACCAAACTAGGGAGAGTATTGCCGCGCAAAGGACGAGCGGCCCCGAGAGGACCGAGCAACTGCTGGGCCTACAGAAGCCCTCGGCGTCGCCGGAGCTCATCCGGCGCAGCCGCCTCCGGGCCCGCGGTCTGCCTCGGCCCTCGGCCAAGACCGGCCCCTCCGCCGCCTGCGCCGCGCCCTCGGACCCCGGGGCCATGGCCGCCGCCGCCGCCTTCGAGATCGCCCTGCCGCAGGGCCCGCCTCCACGTCGGTCGCCCCCTCGTCCGGCGAGCGCCGTGCTGCCCGAGCTGTGGCGCGATCTCGTCGACCGTCAACGTTAGCCCACTGTAGAAGAAAACCATCTGCCGATTTTGCGCGCGGCAGGGGGCGCGGCCGGCGCCCGGGATGATCATGGCCTCCGAGCCAGAACCCAGGAGCTCGCCAATGCTGGCGCGTTGCCATGTTCGACGATGGTCGCGCAGTACATCGCGCCCGCCGGGCGGGCGAGCTCACGCGCGACCCGATCGCCGCCGACCTCCTGCTGGGCCCGAACCCAGGTATGCAGCCACAAAATATGATCCCCTCTCTCGCGCCCGATGCGCTTCATCACCTGCAACATCGTCGAGGGGCCATCGAGCGAACAGTGGGGGTCCGACGCGTGGTAGCTCTCCTGAACAGCCTCGCGGTGCGTCTTGTCTTTCTCACCGTGGTCTTCGCAGACGATCCACAATGCCCTGGCGCCCTCGCCCCGCGCCAGCGGCGCCCGCGCCTCCGCGACCTCCGACGCCAAACATGCCTCGACTGGCGGCGGCAGTGGCGGGGGGCCGCTGAACTACCCTTGCAGCAACTCGAGCGGCGCTCGCGCGGCGACGCCAGCCTCGGAGCTGGGGGGAAGACCGCGGCATCCAGCAATGGCAACGGCCTCGCTGATGCGGACGTCGTCGCCGGCACGGCCTGCGCGGCTGTCTTCCGCGAGGGCCCGCGCGAAGCCTGGCGGCGCTGCCCGAGGCCCGTGGCGCGGAAATCCGAGCGGCGCCCCCGCGCCGCCGCGGCCCTCGAAGTCGCCCTCGTCCTCGTTGCCGAGATGGCCCGCCAGCTCGCCCAGCCGCGACGCCAGGCGAGGCCATCCTGCCCGCGGCGCCCACCCGCCCCCGCAGCCGCAGCGGCCGAGGCGCCGACCTGCCGGCGAGGTTGCTGCCGGAGCGCGGCGTGCACTTGGTGGAGGACGACTACGCGTGGGATGCGACCGGCGAGGATCATCCCCGTTGCCGGCCCCCGGGGGAGGCGGGCGCCTTCCTGACCGAGGTCGAGCAAGATCGCGAGGAACCGATTGAGGAGGACGAGGCCATCCAGGCGCTGGCGACCTGGAAGGAGACCAGGGTGGCAATCGCGGAGGAGCGCAAGAGGCGCGGCCTGCCACCCCCGTCGGCGCCAGACTTGAAGAAGTTCTCGGCTCGGGTGCGCTGCTGCGCGCGCAAGCAGGCGTGCCATTTCAGTAAGGAATGTCCGAAGCGATCACGGCAAGGAGGCAAAAGTGGCGGCGAGACCCGATTCGCGAGCTCGCTTGACCAGAAGATCGGCGCAGGCTTCGTGGAGAGCGTCTTCGCCGAGGAAAGGGAGGCCGACCCGTGGAGTGAGATCGAGGAGATCTTGGCAGCGTGGGGCGATCGGAACCTCCGTGAGCAGCTGACGAAGGACCACTTCCGGCGTCTGCGCAGCGACGTGAACGAGGTCGACGACGACGAGGACGAGGCGGAGACGTCCATGGTGCACCCGCTGGGCGCTGGGGCGATCGACCCGGGCTGTACGCGGGCCCTGATAGGCCTGGAGACGCTGCAGGAGCTGGTCGAATCATCCGGAGAAGACATCGAGATCGTGGAGGACCACAAGGTTGTCGCGTTCACAGGGTTCAGCGGCGACGAGCAGCACCCCATCGGCATCTGCAGGATCGCGTGGGAACTCGGCCACCACATCGAGATGGTAGAAGTGCACGCGGTTCCGGGCAAGGCGGGCTTCTTCCTGAGCAAGCCCTTCTTGAAGATGCTGGGATGCACTCTGGACATGGAGGAAGATGAGCTGGCATTCAAAATGTCGGGCATCCGCGTGCGGCCCCAGACGACCCGCTGCGGCCACTACGAGGTGTTGCTCGACAGTTCGCCCGCGGTTCCCATCTCTGACCGGGATGCTCAGTTGGTCCGGGCCGTTGCCCTGAAGCCCCAGGCGAGGTGTGCGCGGCGGATTCGGCCAGCCAGCGGAAGCCCGTCATCGTGGAGGTGTCTTCGCCCCCGAGGCTGATCAAGTGGGCCGAGGAGTTTGGGTTTGAGGACGGCGGAGCTTATGATCTGCAGACCGGCTGGGATGCTCGCCAGCGCGGGGACGTCGCCCGGCTGTTCTGCGACCTAGAGACCAAGGGCCCTTTCCTCGTGTCGCGCAGTCCTCCACGCGGGAAGTCGTCGCCGTCGCAGGCCCTCACGACCGAGGACACGCGCGAGGATCCTGAGAAGTTCGAGCGAGCGGTTCAGCGGGCTGTCTCTTGTAATGTCTTGTGCCCGGTGATTGCTGAGTGGCAGATAATGCGCGGGAAGCATTTCATACTCGAGCAGCCCCGAGGGAGTTCGGCATGGGGCTTGAAAGAGATGGTCGACTTCTTTGTCGGAGTACCCCCCTTCATCGCGGAGGCGACGGCGCGCGGGCTCGGCAAGCTGGACCTGTAGTCGGGGGTGCCGCTCGCCAAGGTCTGGCGCTTTGCCTCGGACCTCCCGGAGGTGGCCGAGGAGGTGGGCCGCCAGTGCCGCGGCGGCCACGAGCACCAGGGCACGGTGGGAGCGCTGGCGGCATGAAGCGCTCGGCCCGGCCCCAGATCCACCCGGGCAAGTTGGCGAAAGCGCTGGCGCGGAGCGCCCGCCGCGCCCGACTGAAGGAGCGGAACCCGGCCTACCAGAAGGCCGCCCGGGAGGCGGAGGCCACGGGGGTCGACAACCAGGAGGATGACGAGGGGGGGGGCGTCGAAGGCAAGGAGCGCCTCACCCGGGACGACCTGTGCCGCGGCAGTCCGCAGACCGTCGAGGCGGGCTTGCAACGTCTGCGCGCCAATCTCGGCCATGCCCCGGCGCCAACTATGATGAGGCATCTTCGTCATGCGAATGCGACCGAGGCTGCGCTGAAGATGGCAGCGGGTTCCCGCTGCCCCGAGTGCGATGTCAAGACGGACCCGAAACGGTGCGCCCCGCCGCTCCGGATATCGCGCAGCCCCCATCTGAGGCCCATCGGCATGGACGTGAAGGAGCTCCCGGGCTGGATGCCCGATCAGACCGTCAAGGCGCTCAACATCGCTTGCGACACGTCGTCGCTGCAGTCCATGACGCCGTTCGACGAGGGCGACGAGGAGGTGGCCGCTGATCTGCTGCGCTTGCATCGGGGCGACAGGACTCGCCCCTACCTGCGCCCGAAGTGGACGCGCCTCGACCTGGCGAAGCTCCGCGTGTCCAAGACCTTCGCGAGTGCGACGGAGCGAGACGGGGCGACGATCCTGGACACGGCTGGCAGCGCCAAGGAGCAGAGCGGGAAGGTGGAGCGACGTGGGCAGTGGTTCGCCCAGATGTCGCGCGCAGTCAACGCCGAGGCCCAGCCGCAGGACCGCGGGGAGTGGCGTGAGTGCGTGGCGCAGGTGCAGAAGGCCAAGAATTCCCTCCTGAGCGTTAGAGGGGTAAGTCTGGCCCAGATCTTCTTCGGGCGGAGCCCCAAGGTGCCGGATGACCTGCTGGTGGACTCGCCGGACATCGTGGCGAACAGCTCGGTCCTGCACGAACCGCCGGCGGCGTTCGCTGCCCGAGTTCGCGCGGTGGCTCGGCGCCAGGTCCTGAGACACAACGACAAGCAGGAAACCCGCCTGGACCTGGACGCGCGGCCTCGCATGCTCGTGGCGCACCAGCCTGGCGACATGGTGGCGGTCTGGCGCTGGGTGCCGGGCCCACTACCGCAGGAGGCCTGGCGCGTGCATGGGAACGGTCCGCGGCAACTACTGGATCGCCGTGCCGGGCAGCGTGCTGATGGCCTCCCTGGAGCAGCTGCGCCCAGCTAGCTCTGAGGAGAGGGCGGCCTGGCGCTTGGTGGAGTCGTCGCCGCGGACTCACGACGTCGACCTGGACGACATTAAAGCGGAGTTCTACCAGGACATCACCGCTGACGCTCGGCCGCCCGAGGCCGAGGAGAAGGGGGAGGTCGTTCCGGAGGCCCCAGGGGGCGACGGGCGGGCGGCGCCGCCCGAGACCCTGCCACAAGCGGGAGCCGACCCGCCCGCTGCCGACTCTGCCGACAACCCTGGTCCCGAGGACGAGCCGGGCGACGGGCTCGACGACGAGGTAGAGGGCGATCAAGGAAGCGCTGGGCCCGCCGGAGCTCCGGGCAATTCCCCCTCAGCACCCAGCTCCGAGCCGGCGAAGGTTCGGAAGCGCCTGCGAGGTAAGACGTCGGTGGAGGAGGCGAAACGCCCGCGCGTCGAGGGCGAGGCGCCGGCGCCCCCAGGCAGCGCGGGCCCAGAGACCCGAGTTCCGAAGGCGAGTTCCGCCCCGCAGCGAAGCCTGTCGGCTCGCCGGCCTGGGCGACCCAGGCAGCGCGCGCAGTCGGTCCTGGATGATGCCGCCTCCCCCGACAGCGACGATGATGACGAGATCCTGGCAGTGGATGCGGAAGAGGCCCTGCAAGCCAGGGGCAGGAGAGAGCTCGACAAGCGGGATCCGCGCTGGCGCTCCAAGGACGGGTTGGCCAAGATCGCGCTGGGCTATAGCCCAGGAGTGCAGCGAGCTGATCGAGAAGACCCAGGCGCGGCGCCTCCTTCCGCTGGGGGGGGTCGAGGAGAGCGCGGTCTACCCAACTTGATCGCATCATGAAGCCTCGACCGGTTCTGACGGAGAAGGAGGGCGAGGAGGGCAACGAGGTGGTCAAGTGTATAATGCCCATCCAGGGGCCCGAGGACCCCGACCTCCTGGCGCTGGTGAAGGCGGGCCGCGCTCAGGCCCCGACGCTGACGCCATGCCGGAGGGCGTTCGTGCCCCAGCCCATCGCCTCGGCCAAGCGTCCGCTGGCCATCGGGGATGTCGAGGGGGTCTTCCCTGAGACAGACGCGTCGCTGGCGCCGGCAAAGCACGGCGCGATCTACGTCGCACTGCCGTCGGAGATCCTGCCGGAGGGGATGCGCGGGGATCAGCTCTGCGAGGTGATCAACGGCTACGGCAGGAGCGACCAGCCTCCGCTTTGGTGGCTGATCTTCAGCAAGTTCCTGAGCGAGGAGCTGAGCTTCTTGCAGCGCCCCATGGACCCGCGCGCGCTGCTGCTGTTCGAGAATGTCGGAGGGCCCGTGGAATTCGGCCTGGACGACTACCGCGTGATCGGCGGTCAGGGGGCAGAGCCTCTGCGAACGGCCCGGCCTGGCGACCTACGCGGGGTCATTGGCCAGCACGTGGACAACGGCGTATACGGAGGGCGTGGGTCCAAGTAGGCCGAGGCGCTATCGCAGCTGAGGCGCCGCTTTCCCTACCGCGAGTGGCGCGAGAAGGAGGGCGAGCTCGTCGGGTCCACGCTGGGCCAGCTCCCGGACTACACCATCGTGCAGTCGCAGCACCAGCGCGCTTCTGAGGAGAGGGAGCGGGTGCCGACACGCCGACATGCATGTGCTGATGCTCTGGCGGTCCAGTCCGAGATAAGAGGTTTCATCTCTTTCAACCAGCGTGGGAACTGGCTGGCGGCCCAGACCCGACCAGACCTCAGCGTCCTCGTGAGCTCGAATCAACAGAAGATGTTCCGCCCAACCGTAGGCGATATCCAGCAGGGGGACATGTTGGCTTGTCGTGATCAGCAGTTCGCGGACCTCGAAATCCAATATCCCTCGATCCCGATCGACGAGCTCACCTTCATCCTCCACTCAGACTACTCGTCGCTACATCATCGGGGTGACGAACAGGGATCCGTGGAACCCATCGATCTGGAGGAGCTATCGGGTAAAGCGGGTGGTCAAGTCCACCTTGGCGGGGAATCGTCGGTGATGACAGACGGTCTCGGGCACTTGGAGTGGGTCATGCGTTTCTTCGCCATGGGGTTCTTCAGAGGCTTCATTCTGGGAGATCGGGCTCGTTATCTGAGTGAGTTTAAGTGTCCAGCGGTCATCAATCGCAAGAGCATTTACGACAACGCGCGCAAAATGGGGGGCCCGCACGGGATCGATGATAGAAAGTGTGCCGTAGATATTGCAATCAACAAGGAGAGCCTGGCCCGCCTCGGGTCAGCGTTGCGCCGGGGTCCCACCTCTCTGACGTTGGCAGACTGTCTCGCGAAAGGCAAGGCGGAACCCGCCGACCCTCTCCAGAGTTGCGTTCGTCATGGGACCTACCAGCTCGCCGATGAGAGCAGCGTCTTGGCTCGATCATCGGCAGAGAGCGCGCTGCGGAAACAGTTCGCGGCCAAACACCCCCCGAAGAGGTTGCAAGCAGATGGTGAAGATCGAGGCGAAGAACTCGGCGAGTGGTGCGAGGAGCTTCCTGGAGGGCCTGACGGAGGCTGGCAAGGGAAGCATTGAGGGTTCCAGCAACAAGGTACAAGGTCAAGGTGCAGATCAGCGCGGACGTCCTGGATGACCGCCTGACAGGCAAGCGGGCGCTTATCAGATCACGCTGGTGCACCACGCCAGCACAGGTTACATCACGTTGCACTCGCCAGCGGCGTTCGAGGACGGCGTGCGCGACCGCCTGAGGGTGCTCGAGAGCCTCTACCACATGGCGCTGAAGAGCGATCAGGCGCCTCCGGACCCGCCTGGAAGGTCGATCGTGGTGAACTCGTCCGCCTCCCGGCCTGGGACGAATTCTCGGCGGGCCACTCGGAGAGCCGGGGCGGTCCTCCCAGCTCGGGAGCTGGCGGGACTCAGCACAACCACCGTCCATTTCGGGCGCTTCGCCTGCCCAGGGAGTCGGAATTCCACAGCGGGATTGGCGACGTCGGTGTGTCGGTGTGCGAGAATATGGCGGGGTTCCCGCTTTGGCGCGACAAAATCCTTCGGTTCCTGGTCGAGGAGTGCGGCCTGCAGCCCGAGATGCTGGACGAGCATGAACCGGAGGCGTGGAAGCAGACCGGCGTGTTCGATAAGGCCCCGATCGTCGCCGTGGACGAACTCCGTGGGCGGTGACGACATGTCCATGGGAAGCTGGTTGCCGGCGTCGTCGAGGGCGGCGGCTCCAGAAAGCTATCCGAACCTTTTGGGTGCGCCTGCGTCGAGGGCGTCGGCCTTGGAGGACCAGTCTCGCCAGACGTTCGACATCTGAGTGGTTTTCGCCTGCCAGGCGCCGTGCTCGGTGAGTTCACTCGCGATGTGCAGGCGTCAGTTCGAAGCCGAGCCCAAAGTCGGAGTTTAGGCAACGTTTAAGCTCTGGAAATGTTGATCCTGTGTTCCTTGCCTCACTCCGCTGCCAATTGGGCCCTAGCTACTTTGGGGGCATCGCGGTGGGGACCCGCGAGAGGAGAACAAACTAGCCCTCACTCTTCCTCTCGAGGGCCCGGAGGGCCCTGCTTCATAGCTCGGGCTTTGACAAGGCCCCAAGAGGCCCCCAAGAGGCCCCCAGGATGCCCCCAAGAGGTTCCCAAGAGACCCCCAAGAGGCCCCAAGAGGCCCCCCTGAAGCACCCAATGCGCTCCAAGAGGCCTCGGCGGCAAAGACAACATCATTGACTTTACAACGATGTTGGCTACATTTTGGCCTCGGGGGGGGGCACTGCTTCAGATGACTCAAGGAGCGACTGGGAAAGCACAAGATACCCTCCAAGATGGCTCAAAATACCAACAGATGCCTCGAAATGGTTCCCACGATGCTCCAACAGGCCCCAAGACGGCTCCAAGTGGCCACGAAGCTCCCCCAGGAGGCCCCGAGTATGCCCAAATCCGTCCAAAACCTTTAAACTCATTTGTGGTCGTTTTCTCGCCTTGACGCTCCCAGTGGTCGTCCGGGACCTCAAGATGGTTCCAAAAGGGCCGAAGAAGGCTCCACGAACGCTCCCAATGCTCCTAAGAGCGTTTCAACAGGGCCCCAAGAGGCGCCCAGGAAGCCCAAGGAGGCCCCAACAAGCGCCCGAGATGTCTCCCAGACGCCCCCAAGAGACCCCCAAGAGGCCCCAATAAGCTCACCGAAGAACCCAAGATGCTTGTAGAGGCGCCCGGGACCGCCAAGAGGCCCCCATGACGATCCAAGAAGCCTCCATTGGGGGACCCCTCATCAGTGCGGTGCCCACTTCTCTGATCGAGGCAATTCCTCGGGGCATCGTTTCTGGATGGGCTGGCGGGATTCTTTTTTTTGGTCGCGAACGCAAGCGGTACAGCCGCGCGCCGTCAGATCGAAGCTACGCGCCCGAGCCACAGAAGCGGGCTACGCTGCGGCCCAGGCAGGAAACGCGGAAGAGTGGGATGAACCGCAGGTCGACGTGCAGTGCCAAAATGGCGAAGTTCGAGAATCCGACGAACTCGGTGACCACCGTGACGCGGCCGAGGAGGACGTCGAACATGGCGTGCCACCGCTCGACAGAAAGGTTCCGGATCGCCAAATGGGGCGTGGAAGCAGCGGGAGCACCACCACGGTGGGGAGACGCGAGCCAATGCCTGGGCGGCGCTATCAGTAGAGGCGGGGAACGCTGGCGGGGTTACTTTTTTGGCTCGCGGTTCGAAGGCGACGGACAGGGAGCGGGCACAACGTCCGGGGCGCGTTACGATGTAAATTGGCCGCAGTGGCGTATGCACATGCCAGGGACAAAACGCTCCTCATTGAGACGCAGGACAGCGTCGGCAGGTGACCGGCCCAAACATCCCGGCAGGTGGGGAAGCAAAGGCGCGGCGACCAGCAGCGGAACGGGGGGGAGAAGTCGCCCTTGCGGCGCCAAGCTCCAGCCGAACCACATTCGGAAACGAAGCCAAAATGGGCGGCGGGGCAATGTAAAGCCGCATGCGCGGATCCGAATGGCCAATGACCAACCGAAGCCCACGTGCGTGCACCCAGAGACAGGCCTAGACCTCGGAAAATGGAAGGGGGGAGAGTGCGAGCGCGAGCGACTAACTCAGACTCACTGCGGCACCGCGGGTGAAAGATGGTGCGGCGAAAGAGGCCTGACTCATCGAGGCTCACTGGAGCTAAGGTGTGGCTGACCCGAGTCAGAACGCCATCCGGTAGAGAAGGATCACTGGTGTGCGCCCACGAGGCTGAGCCACCTCCAGCCGATAGCCAGTGCGTGTACATCGTATCCGACTCACGCAATTCGGGGGCACAATGATGCAAAAAACTGACGAGGGCTGGTAGCCGGGGCTGCTCTGAAAAGAAAGACCACGAACTGCAGAAGGCTGGACCACCCAACGCAAGGCCGCTCACTTGACGAAGCCAAACACTGGGGTCACCGAGTGTGTGGCTGACATCTGCACCCATCCGCACCTGCCACGCTGCCCGTGCGGAAACCGAATACCCAGACGCCGGTGGCGAGACGATGGCTGGCGGCTACCGAGCTGCTGGGCCGTGCCGTTCGTAAGCGGCGCGCTGACGGCGGGCCAAAACGTCCTTGTGGTAGAACCATGGCCGGGTCGGCGACGGACCAGGGCGGGCCACAGGCAGGATGGGGGCGCAGCCAAAATCCGCTGCGCACTGGTGTCAATGAGGGGTGTCGGAACACCATCAAATAAGAGACCACTGGTGTGCGTGCGCGAGGCTGACAACCACCAGCAGGTAGCCGGTCCACTTACATCGTATCCGACTCACGCAGTTCGGGGGCGCAACGATGCAGTGTCCCGGCGAGGGCTGGGGTTGTGGCTGCGCCGAGAAGAGCGAAACGAACTTGGACCGCGGAAGGCTGTACCACTCGATGCGGGGCCGCTCGCTGACGAAGCCGATCGCCATGTGTATGGAGGACAGCCACACCCAATCAACACGCACCACGCTGCCCATGCAGAAGCCGGATGCCTCCGACGCCATGGCATACGGGTGGCTGTCATCTGCCGAGCTGCTGGGCTGTACCGTCCGCTGGCTGTGTGATAACGTGCTAAGGCGTACTTAGTAAAACCATGGCTGGGTCGGCGACGAGGAACCGATACTCCCTGGGCAGGTCTCAGGGCGGACGCTCTTCTGCGTCCGATGCAATCTACGCTGTTGATCGGGGGGGGCGCAGCCAAAAACCGCAGAGACGTTGTGAATGAGAGGAGGAGAAAGGGGGAGGAGGGGTGGCGCAGCCAAAAGCCGCTGAACACAGATCCTGGTCAAGAGGAGGAGGAGGAACCTGGGGGGCGCAGCCAAAAGCCGCTGTCACCGATGTATTGAAGGAGGGGGAGGGTTGGACGGCCCTCTGGAACAGTGCTGTCTGCTCGGAATCCGCTCTTCCATCGTCGCCTAACGGTCTCTGAGGTGAGGCACCCGTCGCTGCAACGGGGGGTCTGGTTGCCTGCCCCTTTGGTGGGTGGCCAGCGCCGTCCACTTCCATGGACACGTGTTGACTCTCTCCAGATACCTCGTACACGGACGCGTTCTCGGCCTCTGGGGGCTGGGTGGTAGGTGCCACCGAGGCACGCGTATCCATGTGACGCGTGAACATGTTTTGAGAACGCAGAAAACTTGCGACGGGCAATTGCAATTCTGAAGGTATCGATGGTGATGTCCTGTGCCAAAGGCCGTGCTGTGCTCTGAAATGTGCCACGCCGCGTTGAAATATGCTGAGCTCTTTTGCGTTGAGGATGAGGTCGTTGTTGGCGTCAATATCCTGACCGAACTGATTTAGATCTACAAGTGCGAGCTGCCCGAGCGCACAGCTTAAACTGGCTGCAGCCGAAACGCGCGGGGTGCACGACCAACTCGCGCTCGAGATCCGATTCGGTTCCGAAGCCGGCCCGACCAAGCGGCGGCGCACTCGAACCAACGCGAAAGGCACCGTGGAGGACGGACCGAGACGCGGCGAACCGAAACATGACAAACTGCACCAAGACGAACCTCAAAACATGTGGATCACGGGCGAAAGGAACCCATGTACAGACAAGTTGCTTTACCTCGCGGGCGAAAGGAACCCATGTCAACACACATGATTTGCGCTGACAGGCGAAAAGAACCCATGCAACAAACAAATACTGTGCGTCGACGGACGAAAGGAACCGTTGTACAAAACTAGTGCTGGCTCAAGGGAGAGAGGAACCCATGTGAAAAATATACGGTGTACCAATGGTAGCGTGTCAGTGATGCCCTGTCTCCCTCCCGAGGCTTCCCGCAGCCCCATGTAGAAGCCTCCTTCATGGGGTCGGAGTAGATGGAGTCGGAGGATCGCGCCGCATCGCCGATGCATCGGCGATGCGTAGGCGACGTCGACGCGAAGCAAATCAGGCTCCGCGTCAAGCCGCATCGGCGATGCATCGGTGATGCGGCGCGATCCTCGAGTTGCTCCGACCCCATCCAGGAGGCCTCGGCCATGTCGACGAAGTCCTGGTGCGACCTCACAGGGTACGCCTCGTCCGCAGCCGCGCCGCCGCTCTGCGCGGCCGCCGCCGCCGCCGAGGCGCCGGGCCCCCGCAGGCCGGCGGCGGCAGCGGCCGAGCAGCTCGTGGGGAGGCGAAGGCGACAGTCGGGTGTTGCTGGGAGTGCTCCTGGCCCAGGGCGCCCCCAGGATTTCCGAGGAGGCTCCCGCGGCCCCCAGAGCACTCCTCACGAGGCCCAGGGGGCCCCAGGGGCTCCACAGTGGAGCGAAAGAGCTGGGGGGACCTTGGGCCAGGGGCACCTTTCGCAGCCCCCGAGACGGAGGGGGGCGAGGATCTGGCAGAGGAGGGCGGAAGGATGGAGGTCCGCGCGCCACTGCACGCTGCAGCCCCTTCCGGCAGATCTTCGGGTGGTGCCGCCTCGCCGCGTCGTGCCGCTTCTCCGTGCGCGCGGCGTGGGAGTCCGGGGCACCTTGGCTGGGGCGTACTTGCAGAGCATGTGCATGTTCCTCGTCGTGGTGCCACACATGCCGACTAGTTTGCGTATAGTGGTACCAGACTACCGAATAGTACTGCGTATAGTAGTCGCACTGCGTATAATAGTACTGCGTATGGTGCTGCGCCCCCTCAGCGAGCGCCAAGCCCATGGTCGCTGGCGTGCACTCACGTGTGCGGCCAAAGTGGGTGAGCTGGTCAGGGTCGAACTCTATTCGGACTGCGTGGGCGTCGGAGTGCCCGTCCGCACGCTCTCGTGCGTGGGCTTCATCTGCGCTTGCCGCCAGCGTAGCCGACCGTCAGTTTCAGGGCCCCGCCCACCGCGTCAAACATCCTCCCCGACGACCAGAAGCAGCCCGTCGAGAAGCGGCACCTCCCCGCGGCCGCGGCCAGAGCAGGGCCCGCCCGAGCTGATCGGTTCCCAGGGCGCAGTCCTCTTCCTCGAGCCGCTGGCCCAATCAACGTACTTGACGCCGCTGTGGCGTTCCGCGATCTGTGGGCCTGCGGAGGGATCGCCCGAGCTTCTCGGCTCGAGCGTGCTGTACTGGTCCTAAAGCTGCCGCTGCGCATCGTCTCCGACGACCAGAAACAACCCGTCGAGAAGCGGCACCTCCCTGAGGCCGCGGCCAGCGCAGGGCTCGCCCGGGCCGCTCGGCTCGAGCGCGCGGTCCTCCTCCTGGAGCCTGCGCAGTGCCTCGACGGCGGCGAGCCGTGCCCGCTCCACCTCCTCTGGCGACTCGTCCTTCGGGCTGAAGGTGGGCTGCTTCCTTGTGCCTTTGTCTGGGCCGTTCTTTATCACGTATCTCACACGCCACGCCTGCCTCTTGCTGACCCAGTCAACGTACTTGACGCCGCTCTGGCGTTCCCCGCTCTTGCGCTTCGCGGGGTCGTAGCTGCCAACGCGGGCCTGCCCGAGCAGGTCCTCCTCCTCGAGCCGCCGCAGCGCCTCGACGGCGGCGAGCCGCGCCTGCTCCACCTCCTCTGGCGACTCGTCCTTCGGTCGGAACGCGGGCTGCTGTCTGCGACCTGCGTGTGGACCGTTCTGCATCCTGTACGAAATGCGCCACACCGTCCTGCGACTGTCCCAATGTATGTGCTTGACGCCACTCTGTCTTTCCGTGCTGTGCCGGTCCGAGCCGATCGGCCCAAACGCGCGGGCTTCCTCCTGGAGCCTCCGCAGCGCCTTCACGGCGTCGAGCCGCGCCCGCTCCACCTCCTCTGGCGACTCGTCCTTCGGGTGGAAATAGCGAGACTGTAAACGACCTGTGTACGGGCCGTTCTGTATCTTGTCCGCTACCGTGCCTCTGGTACGTTGAGGCGTGGAAGACTGCCAAGGTCTGGTTGGCAGGGCTACATTCTAAGAAGGGGCCGTCCCTCCGTGTATCAGCAGACTCCTGCGTGCATCGCCCCTCCTTTCCGAAACCAATTCCCTCGTGCCCGCTCGAGGATGGGTCACTTCCAGCATGGCAGCTAGTGCGTAATCCCTCATTGCATGCACGCTCGCTCGAGGACTGTGCACTTCCCGCACGGTTGCTAACTCCTAGACCCCTCATCCTACGTGCACCCGCTCGAAGATCGTGTACATCCCGCAGGGCAGATAGTGCCTGAACCCTCATTGCATGCACGCTCGCTCGAGGATTGTGCCCTTCCGCACGTTGCCAATTCCTAGACCCCTCGTCCCACGTGCACTCGCTCTAGGATCGTGCGCTTCCCGCATTCCCAGGCGCTGTTCCGAAACGCTCCAGGGCCCCCCAGGCTACGATCCCCCTAAGAACAATCGATCTGCCCCGACCTTCCAAAACGGCTCGCGCAGGCAACCAATGACACCATGATGCCCCAAAATGTCTCGAAGATGGCCCAAGATGGCCCCAAGGTGGTCGAATATTGATTCAAGACGGCCCAAGATACTTCAAAGAGGACCCAACATGGCCACAAGAGGACCTCCGACAGGGTCCGGAGAAGCCAAAATCATTGATCTCCGTCTGATTCCCAAATGATGTTAACATTCTCGCCTTTGCGGGCTGCCTTCAGCTCAAGATGATCCAAGAAAACTCCCACGATGGTCCAGAAGGCATCCAAGATGGCCCCAAGGCGGCCAAAGAGGGCCTCCCGTGGGACCCAAGACGGCCTTAGAAGGCCCATCGACGGCCCAAGACGGCGCCAAGACTGCCCCACGACGATCCCCAGCCACCCGCCTTACGGCCAAGACGGCCCAAGACGGCCCCAAGCCGGCGGATGATGGCCCCAAGACGGCCCAAGACCGCCTCACAGGAGGCCAGGACAGCCTCAAAACGGCCCAAACAAGTTCCATCATCATCATCATCATCAGCATCATCATCATCATCAGCATCATCACCATCATCACCATCACCATCACCATCACCATCACCATCACCATCATCATCATCATCATCATCATCATCATCATCATCATCATCATCATCATCATCAACATCACCATCATCATCATTTTCAGCAGCATTATCAACCTCCTCCTCCTCGTCATCAGCATCAGCATCATCATCAGCAGCATCGGCATCAGCGTCGTCATCATCATCACCATCAACAAGAACTTGTTTTTTATTGTTCGGACCCGTCACGCCCGTTACGGGGGGGGGGGGATCCCCCCCCCCGTAACGGTAACGAGCGCGTACGGGGACGTGGGTGCGGCCCCCCCCTCCGTCCAGGCAGGCATGCTGTGACGCTCACGTGTGTGTTCAGGTTCGAGGTTCGAGGTTCGGGGTTCGAACCTCGGCGCAAACTCAAAATGGGTCCACGGGGCCCGACTGGGGCTCAGACGCACCAGTTTCCCGAGCCGCGTCCAGCCGCGGCGCCGACGAAGGCCCTCGAGGGCCAGGATGCCTCGATCCTCGAGGTTCGAGGTTCGCATCCCTCGGCGCGAACCTTTCAACGGGTTCCGGCCTGGCCCCTCCACCTCCTTTGCCTTGCTTCTGTACTCCCTCCAATGCTCGTGCCCCCCACCTCCTCTCACCTCCTGGGGAGAGGGGGGAGCGAGGCAGAGGGAGGAGGAGGAGGAGGAGGAGGAGGAGGAGGAGAAAGAGGATGAGGAGGACGAGGAGGACGAGGAGGGTTGGAACAGGATCGGAGGAGGAGGTGATGGGGGATCGGAGGAGGGGCATGAGGAGGAGGAGGGGGCAGAAGAGGAGGAGGAGGAGGAGGAGGATGGAGGATCGGAGGGGGATCGGAGGAGGAGGGGGATCATTTTCTTCTGGTCCCTCCGAGCGTCCTCCTCCGATCATCCTCCTCCGATCCTCCTTCCACCTACCCTCCACTTCCTCTCCTGCATTCCCTCCGGCGGGGGGCTTTCCCCTCCCGTTCTGATGCCACTCCTCATTTCCGGCGGCGAGCCCAGGGGGGGAGTGAGAGGGGGCAGGGCTTCTCAGAAGGCGGCGGGATTTCTCAGAAGCCCTCTGGCCTTCAGAGAAACCCTCCGTGTCTTCGGGGGAGGCTTGGACATCTTCTCAGAAGGCCGGAGGCCTTCTGAGCCTTCTCAGAAGGCCCGCCCCCTCTCATTTCCCCCCTCGGTTCGCCGCCAAATCTTGCGGGAAGTGCCAACGGGCACTGCGCTTTAGCACTTGATCGGCGGCGTGGCGCGCCACAGGTGCCACAGAATGGTCGTCGTCATCCCTGCCGCGTCCGTTGTCATTATCCTGCGGGCTGCACCCGGAGTCCCGACGCCCGCCTGCCAGCACGACGTTTCCCCGAACAGTGCGCGCACCAGGAGTTCCGTTGAAACGCAGCGCCACAAAGTGGCCCCGCCTTTGGCGCAACCTGTGGCGCAACCGTCGACGCAACCTATGGCGCGCCTTGGGGGCGCAACCTAAGGCGCAACGTAAGGCGCGATTTGTGGGGCGCCCTGGGTGCGCAACCTATGGCGCAAGCTATGGCACGCCCTGAGGGCGCATCCTATGGCGCAGCTTACGGCTCAACCTATGGCGCAAGTAATTGCACGCAAACACAACGCGTGGTGTAATGCATCGGGCAAGCCATGGCGCAACCAGCCGGTGCACTCTCACAGTATCATTATGACTACTACCACTGTCCTCCCTCCATGCCCCCTGTGCTGGTGCAGGGGCTGGACATGGGCGAGACCTGCACGCGGATGTGGCCGCATGTCCTTCCAGCGCTCGGCCCTCCTACCTCGCGCGGTTGGTCACGCCAGCCCCCCGCATGTGTATCCAGCAAGTGGGCCCCAAGCGCCGCTGAAGCTTTCGGCAACTGGCTGCGGACACGGCGGCGGCGGCGGCGACGGCGACGGCGGCATCGGCGGCGACGACGACGGCGGTGACGGCGGCGGCGGTCACCTTCACCGCCGCCGCCGCCATTTGCCGCCGTCGGCGTCGTCGCCGTCGCCGCCGCCGCCGCCGTCGTCGTCGTCGTGGTCGCCGTCGCCGCCGCCCGTGTCGCCGCCGCCGCCGCCGCCGTCGCCCCCGCGGTCGCCGACGCAACTGACGGCGACGACGACGACGCACCCGCGTGCACGCTCCAGCCGTCGACCCATATCTCAAGGGCCTTGTGCCTGCACAGTAGGCTGCCGCCGCCCAGCGCGCCCCTACGGGGCGTGGTTTACACTCCGCACAAAAAAACCGTACACAAGCTTTGTGGTGCACACATGCCATGTGGTATACACAGGCGCCACGGTTCACACTCCCATGATGTACACAGTCGCAATGGAGTACACAGGCGCTGCGGGCTCAACAGGTCCGAGCGCTTCTTGAACCACAAAAACTAAGATCGACAAGCAGCTCACATAATGAAAGGGCCACGGTTGGGCCCCGAGCGATCTTCTGCACTTTCGCTCCACCGGTACCTTACAGGTGTACACAAGCTTTGAGGTGTACGCTGGCATTTTGGTGCAAACACGGGGCGTTGAAACAGCAGCTGTGGTGCACGCGGGCGCCGTGGTGTGCACCAACAGTGAGATGTACAAGGGCGCTGTGGTGCACCCGCCCGTCATGATGTGTTCAGTAGCCGTGGTGCACACACATACCATTTCTGCCGCAGTTGTGGTGTACAAAGGCATCGCGGTGTACAGAGCCTGTGCAGTGTGCACAGGCACGGTCGGCTTCGACGACGACGACAGCGGCGACGACGGCGACGACGACCACGACGAAGCCTACCGTGCCGACACTTGTGCCGGTAATAAGTACCAGGGCCCGTGCGAGGGCCCCGCCGCGCGTTACTGTTACCCCCAACTTGGGGCCGGACCCCCCCCCCCCCCATAACGGGCGTTACCCCCCCTCAATTAAAAAAACAAGCTCCAACAACAGCAGCATCATCACCAGCATCAGCATCAGCATCAGCAGCATCATCATCAGCATCATCTTCACCACCATCATCACCATCATCATCATCAGCAGCAGCAGCAGCACGAGCATCACGGCTCTCCCAAATGTGGAGACACGAGGTGTCACACGTGACAGCCCCCCGTGCCCCCTGGAACAGTCGCCACCCAGAATGCTATGCTGGCACGGTGTAGGGACTTGCCGCAAGGAATTGAATGCTGAATGCGCCACGCTTTATTGCAACTGTCCCAGTATATGTGCTCGACGCCGCTCTGGCGCTCCGCGGAGTCGTAGCTGCCAAAGCTGGCCTGTTCGAGCAAATCCTCCCCCTCGAACCGCCGCAGCGCCTCGACGGCGGCGAGCCGCGCACGCTCCACCTCCTCTGGCGACTCGTCCTTCGGGCGAAACTGTGCCTGATTCATGCAGCCTCTGTCCGGGCCGTTCTTTATCTTGTACTTCACACGCCAGACCTGAAATTTCGTGACCCAGTGAATGTACTTGACGCCACTCGCGCGGGCCTGCCCAATCAGGTCTTCCTCCTGGAGCCTGCGCAGCGCCTCGACGGCGGCGAGCCGCGCCCGCTCCACCTCCTCTGGCGACTCGTCCTTCGGGCGGAAGGTGGGCTGCTTCCTGGTGCCTTTGTCTGGGCCGTTCTTTATCACGTATCTTACACGCCACGCCTGTGTCTTGCTGACCCAGTTGACGTACTTGACGCCGCTCTGGCGCTCCCCGCTCTGGCGCTTCGCTGGGTCGTAGCTGCCAACGCGGGCCTGCCCGAGCAGGTCCTCCGCCTCGAGCCGCCGCAGCGCCTCGACGGCGGCGAGCCGCGCCCGCTCCACCTGCTCGGCCGACTCGTCCTTCGGGCGGAAATCGCGCACCGTTTCGCCACCTTTGTCTGGTCCGCTCTTCACCCTGTGCCGAACACGCCAGGCCTGACGCGCTCTGTCCCAGCGTATGCCGGCGACGCCGCTCTGGCGCCCCACGCTGCCGGGGTGTCCAGCTGCAGGAGCCGGCGCTGCGCTGCCGGGGCCGGCGGCCGCAGCCCGCAGCGGCACCCCGCGCACCGGGGCGCACGCCGCAGCCAGCCCAGCGAAGGGCGCCGGGGCCAGGTGCCCGCGGCACGCGGCCGCCAAGGCTGCGCCAACCGCTGCCGCGGCCGCGCGGCAGCGGTCGCGGCGGCGGCAGGTCATGCCGGCTGGCATCTCGGAGAGGAGCGGCTGGCCTGGCAGGCGAGCGGCGGTGCGGGCCGGCTGGCCGATCCAGGCCACAGGAAGCGCTCGAGCCTCTGGAGCCAAGCTGGCTACGGAAACGTTCCGCGCACTCTGGTGTCACGCGGGCACAGAAAGGGTCTGCAGACCCCGCCATTTATAGCGGATCCGAGGTGGGGGCGCGATGTCCTCGAGCGGGCAATCACGAAACCGACGTTGTCTTCTGAACATATGGATTCGCCGAATTTGTTGTCTATCGAGCGGGAATCCGCCAACCTCCTTCCGACAAGGCACCCGGAAACAAGTATACCACAGAACCCAAAAGAGATTCTTGGACCCGCGCCCTTTCCAGGAAAGGAAAACCATCGGCCGAAAACTTTTGCAAACAAAAACTTCCTTGGCAACGCGGAATGCAAACGGCACTGGCACTTGACAGGGTGCTTGCTGAAGTGTGCCCCTGATCAACCAGCGCCTGCTTCCGAATCTGCAAAAAAACATACTCACCTTGAGAAAGCAGGCCCTGATCGAACAACGGGAACCAAATTTCGGACACCACCGTGCCATAATGCCGCAACACATTCACGCGCACCCTCGTATGCAATGCCCTGCGCAGCCTGCGTGCACAATCAAAGCCTCTCCTGTCGGAGACTCGGAACATGATCGACCCGTGAACCCGGAAAGTGGTATAGACATGTGACGCGTGAACATGTCTTGAAGACACAGAAAACTTGCGACGGGCAATTGCAATTCTGAAAGTATCGATGGTGATGTACTGTGCCAAAGGCCGTGCTGTGCTGTGGTGAACTGAAAGGTGCCATGCCGCGTTGAAATATGCTGAGCTCTTTTGCGTTGAGGATGAGGTCGCTGTTGGCGTCAAGATCCTGACCGAACTGATTTAGATCTACAAATGCGAGCTGCCCGAACGCACAGCTCAGACTGGCTGCAGCCGGAACGCGCGGGGCGCACGACCAGCTCGCGCTCGAGATCCGATTCGGTTCCAAAGCCGAACTGACCAGGAGGCGGCGCACTCGAACCAGCGCGAAACGCACCGTGGAGGACGGACCGAGACGCGGCGAACCGAAACACGACAAACTGCACCACGGCGAACCTCAAAACATGTGGATCACGGGCGATTTAGATCCAAAAAAGCGAGCTGCCCAAACGCACAGGTCAAACTGGCTGCAGCCGGAACGCGCGGGGCGCACGACCAGCTCGCGCTCGAGATCCGATTCGGTTCCGAAGCCGGACTGACCAAGAGGGGGCGAACTCGAACCAACGCGAAACACATGGTGACGGACGGACCGGGAGGCGAACCGAAACACGACAAACTGCACCAAGACAAACAAAAAAACATGTGGATCACGGGCGAGCGGAACCCATGCACAGACAAATTGCTTTGCCTCGCGGGCGAAAGGAACCCATGTCAACACGCATGATTTGCGCTGACGGGCGAAAAGAACCCATGCAAAAAACAAATACTGTGCGTCGACGGACGAAAGGAACCGTTGTACTAAACAAGCGTTGACTCAAGGGAGACAGGAACCAATGTAGAAAAGATATGGTGTTCGCTCGCGGGCGAACGAACTTGTGTACAAACCACACATGGTGGTGCATCACGGGCGACAGACACCCATGTCAAAACATATGTTTTGCGTGAACGGACGGAAGAAAACGTATGGTTATGGCTCAAGGGCGAAAGGCACCCATGTAAAGACACATGGTTTTGGCTCGCGGGCGAAAGAGACCCACGTAAAAAACACATGGTTTTGGCTCAGTGGTGGAAACAACATATGGAAAAGAAAAGGGTGTGGGTCCAGGGGCGAAAGGAACACATGTAGAAACACAGTGTTTGAGCTCACAGGCGAAAAGACACCATGTCAAACCATTATTTTAGCCCACGGGCGAAAGGAACCCATGCATCAACAAGTGGTTCTGGCTGACTGGCGAAAAGGACCCATGTAAAAACACATGGTTTGGGCCCAGGGGCGACATGGACCCAAGCATGGATTAAACTCACTGACGACAGAACCCATGTGGTTCGTCCGAGACATCCTCGACAAATCCTCATGCTAGACATCCACCTGGACGACCTGGACACCTGAAAACAAGCGCATCGCCGCAGACGTCCGCAGCAAATGCTCATGTTGGGTATCCGCCTTGTCGACCTGACGCGCTTGTTCAAAACAGCCGTTCCGCTCGAGACATCCCAGAAAATTCTGCGCGCAGGCTGCGCCAGCCTTCTGCGGGCACGCGCAAACACAACGTTTCACTTGTCTTGCAAATCCCCTGCTAATTTCAACGCGCGCCTCACGAGGATTCTGCGCAAAACGCTTCGCATCCTTCTTAACAAAGAAAGGTGGCCAGACCGCGATATTCATCAAGACTCCGACATGTGGCGACGTGCTTTCGTCGAATTGGCACGCACGAAACCAAATTTTTGAAATGGAAATTTGCCGGCATCATGCTTTTATCAAGCGGACATTCGCCGGCTTTCTTTGCACATGGCACTGGGGCCGGTGGAACACAACAAAAAGGGAACCATTGGCCAAAGCCCTTTTCGGGAAAGCATTAAAAGCAACGAGACTAGAGACGATAACGGTAGCTGTAGAAACCAACTCTAGTATCATCAATCAAGGAAATGTGTGAGAAAACACTTCAAAGGATCATGCTCGTGCCACTTCCTCGAAAGATGCGGGACAAGGTCATTGACGAATTGCTTTTCACACGGCATAAAACAAAATATCAAACTCGGACCGTCAGCAGGGGTCAAGAAACCGAGGCGACACAGACACAACTCTTGCTTAGCACGCCGAGTGGTAGGCCAGCCGCTCACAATCGGGCGTAGCCGTTGAACTAGGAGGGCAGCGGGGACCTTCAGGGCGATCGAACCGAGTCTGATAACAGCTTCTGCAGCATTGGCCTCAGGTGGAGGAGAAGGATGAGGAACGGAGGAGGCGGGAGAGGAGGAGGAGGAGCCAAGGGGCAAGTGAGGGAGGAGGAGGAGGAGGAATAATAATCTCGCTCTGCTCATCCTGCCGCCGACTCCCGCGTAAACTTACAAACCATGAGTACTACTCTCCCCTCTCTCCTGGAGAAATAACCGAAAAAGAAGGCCGCCCCACTCCGCGTATATTCTCCTTTCTAAAAACAGAATAGGATCTACCCCCCCCCCGGCGTTATCGGCCCCCCTTTCGGATATGTAAATCATATATGATTATGACCACATGTCCATCCTAAAAATGAAATCGCAATGTCAAATGCCAACCGGTATGCCCCCCCTGAGGTTCCCTTGTAAAAAAACACTATGCGGTGACTTGTTTTGCTCTAGCGTAGCACTTGTTCACGAACCCCTTTGCAAAACATGGGACGAAGTGCACACGCGCGCGTCGTCGCGCGGGCATGCCGAAATCCTTCAAAAACCCTCGGTACCGGAAGACTTTCGCAATCGAGTTCCCAAATAACATACAACAACACAGGGTTTCGCAACACTGATTTGCTAAAAAAGCCTCCGCTCGAGCTCTTGCGAAATCTTGAGAGAAACATTGCTTTTTCAAGAGTTTTACTAAATGCTACTAAACGGGTTTCGCGCGCGCATGTCGAAATCTGTCGAACGCCCTTGCGCGTGTGCCGTCGCGAGAATCCTCTGCAAAAAAAGGGACGAAGTGCAGACGCGCGCGTCGTCGCGCGCGTATGCCGAAAACCTTCAAAACCCATCGGTTTCGGAACGATTTCAAAATCATGTGTCCAAAAAACCTACAAAAACACAAGGTTTCGCAACACGGATTTTCAACAAAAGCGTGCGCGCGCGCTCTTGCGTCGTCGTCGTCGTCGTCGTCGTCCTCCCTCCTCCGTCGTCGTCGTCGCCTACGTCGTCCTCTGTATTTCCTCGTATTCGTCGTCGTCGTAATCTTTGGCGTCGTGGTCGTTTCCGTCGTCGTTGTTGCCGTGGTCGTCCTTCCTCCTCCTCCCTCGTCGTCGTCGTCGTCGTCCGTCGTCGGCGTCTCGTCGTCGTCCTTCCTATCTCGTCGCCGTCGTCGTCGCCGTCGTCGTCGTCTTCCCTCCTCCCTCGTTGTTGTCGTCGTCGGCGCCGCCGTCCTTCCTCCTTCGTCGTTCGCGTCGTCGCCGTCCTCCCTCCTCCCTCGTCGTTGTCGTCGTTGTCGTCGTTGTCGCCGTTGTCGTCGTTGTCGCCGTCGTCGTCCTTCCTCCTCCCTCGTTGTCGTTTTCGTTGGCGACGTCGTCGTCGTGTTCGTCGTCGTCGTCGTCGGCGTCGTTGTCGTCGTCGAAGTCGTCGAACACGTCGTCGGTCTCGTCGTAGTCGACGTCGTCGTCGTCGTCGGCGTCGTTGACGTCGTCGGTGTCGTCGTAGTCGCCGTCGTCGTCGTCGTCGTCGGCGTCGTTGACATCGTCGTCGTCGTCGGTGTCGTCGTTGTCGTCGTCGAAGTCGTTGGGGACGTCGTCGTTGTCGTCGTAGTCGGTGTCGGCGGCGCCGTCGTCGTCGTTGTCGCTGTCTTCGTCGGTGTCGTGGCCAAGTGCCATGTGGTACGTACCGTCACGGTCTTGTTTTAAGAGGTCTTGCGACCAAGTTGCGGGTGAGAGGGTGGGATGTTTGCACGAGCGGCGGAGAGGACAGCTTCAAGACGGCCAACTATTGTTTCCAACACATCGGATTCCCCAAAGGTGGTCGGTCATATGTAGTTCTCAATCCCAACGTTTCCAGAATTTCAAGCATGGTGCTCGCGTTGGCTCCATGTTCTGGCACTCGGTCCTTCCAAATCGTGTTCCCTCTGCAACACTGACATCATGCCATTATTGCGGGTCTTCTACATCGTGTTCTCGCTACAACATCGGCTATCATGCTATGTTTCCGTTGCTTCCGAACTGACCCTGTGCGGTGCCATGATTTGCACTGCCATGCGTCACTATGCAATGCCATGCCGTGCTATGACATGATACGACCTGCGGTGCTCTTCTACGCCGTACTACGCCGTGTGCGACCACGTATATCGCACCCTCTCGGGATCATCGCCCTGCTCGGCATCCGACTGTGCGAACAGAGAGGAGATCTACGCCATGGTCGGGAACGGGAGGGAGGGGTGCGACGTCAGATAAGACGCTTGCGCACCCAACTCGGCTTCGCCTCCGCTCCCCCCCCTGCGGGAAGAAGGGAACGTGCGGGAGGACGACGGCGAGGAGCGGCCGAGCCCCGACCGACGGCGGAAGAGGACTTCTCCCCCCGAGGCCCCGCGGGATCGTCGCGCCCGCGGGCGCAGGACGGGGCCGCGCCGTCAGTGCATGCTGCAGCCCTGAACCGACATCGTGACACTATACGGTTGGCTCAGCAACACTTCGAGGCACAACTCTTCAAGACGATTCTCCAAGCCGTGCTCGCACTCAGTAGGTGGCGCCTCGTGGGCGCCCCGGGCGCGCGCTGGGTTCACCGAGTGTTCCGTTTTGTGGGCGCCCGCAGGCGCCCACGTGGGGTCCTCCGTGGATTTTTTTCATAAAAAATACGTTACCCCCCCCCCCCCCGGGATTATCGGTCCCCTATGTCGTGTTGCTCTTTACACACACTTTTGCCCCATCGTCCATCCTAAATATGAACTCGTACCATCCCAATCGAACCAGCATCCGCCCCCCATCTGCCATCCTTTGCAACAAACTGTATGCGCGCACGCTCGCTTTTCAACAAGTGCGCACGCGCGCGTCGTCGCGCGCGCATGCCGAAATCTTGTTTAACAGACCCTCAATGTCAGAAGGGCTTCGAAATCGAATGCCAAAAAACAAATGAAAACACAAGGATTCGCGACACTGGTTTTCAAACCAAAAAAGCTTGCGCGCGCAATCTTGCGAATTCTTAGGACGACCATCGGGTTTTGAAATTTTCATAACATGCTACCAAACGGGTTTCGCGCGCGCATGCCGAAATCGTTCGAACGGCCTTTGGCGCTTGCTGGGGTGGCACGATCCGCCCACGGCGGGGGAAGGAGGGAGGCGTAGAGGGTGGTGCCACTGCCACCGCTGACCGACAGAACGGGATGCAAGAGTACCAGAGCCACAGAGGGCGGACCGGGGACCAGCGGCGGCCCCCCAGGGAGCCCGGCGCCAGGATGCAAGCAACAGGAGAGCCCGCGGGACACGCAGTCCGTATACACTGCAGCCGCTGAGTCCACACTTCTGCACTGTACCTGTTGTCCAACGGTCCATTGTTGTTCCTCCTCGGCCTCCTGCAGGGGGGGGGCGCAGCCAAAAGCCGCTGAACACAGGTACGCGGTGGGGGGTGGAAAGCTGCAGGGACATCCCAGCGGTGCGCCGGCACAAGTGGACCACGCTGGAGAGGGTGGTGCCGCCGGCACCGCTGACCGACAGAACGGGATGCAAGAGTACCAGAGCCACAGAGGGCGGACCGGGGACCAGCGGCGGCCCCCCAGGGAGCCCGGCGCCAGGATGCAAGCCACCGGAGAAGCCGCGGAACACGCAGTCCGTTCACACTGCAGCCGCTGAGTCCACATTTCTGCGCTGTACCTCTTGTCCAACGGCCCATTGTTGTTCCTCCTCGGCCTCCTGCAGGGGGGGGCGCAGCCAAAAGCCGCTGAACACAGGTACGCACTGGTGGGGTTACGCGAAGCGTCTAGAACTTTCAAGGGTTCCACGGAATCCCATGATCAGCATACCAGTGTTTGAAACGATTTAGGCTTCTGAGTGTGCAACAGTTACGTTGGTTCGCGATGTTGAATCTGGCACGATTCGGAATCGCCAAGAAGCAGCAATCAGGTTGATCCGTGGCGTTGGAATCCTGGGAACGATGTTTTGGCATGCGCCAGGGTCTCCAAACGAATGTCTTCCAACGAGAGCCTTTGTAGAGGCCTATCAAGAGGAGGCTGGGAGGGACGGTTTATTCAAACATCGTTGATGACTTTTGGGCTTCCTGGTCCTCCTCCACATCCGCCTCCGCTCCTCCAACTGCCCCCCTCCTCCCATACCTGCTCCCCTCAGCCCCTCTCCCTTCTCCCCGCCTCCTCCCTCCTCCCCCTCTCCAGACCGACAATTCCACGTCTCATCGTCCAAAGACACACTAACGTGGATCAGGTAGAAACCGTGGATCCGGCACGCGGGCGCGAGGGAAACCGCTGCCGCCCGACCCAGCGAAGGTGCGGGTCAGCGGTGGAAACTCGTGGGAGCCTCCCATACCAACTGGTTGGCTCTTGCGAATTGACACCGACGCTAATCGCAGGTGGTGGGAGAGGGATGTTGCTCCCAACAAGGAAACAACATGCCACCCTCCACCACCTGCGAGGCCCCCTCCTCAGATGATCCTGGACTTCAGTGCGCCTTCCGGTCACGCCCTGCACAAGAGCCCCCCCCTCCACCTGCCCCGCCCTCCGCAATGATGGGGAAGGGAGAGGGGGGGGCGGGCTTAGTGGGTCACGGAAGCGACAAAACAATTTTTTACCGGTTCCGTTTTGCCGTTTTGTTGCCAATTCCGTCGCCGTTTTTGTTGCAGGTTCCGTCGCCGTGTGTTTCCGGTTCCAATCATGGAGCCGTTGTTTGGCCGTTTCCTGTCGCTGTTTTTCAACGTTTCCGTTTTCAAGACACTTTTCGAAAACGGTGAAAAACTGCCCTGCCGCTTCCGGGACTCACTAAGGGGGCAGGGTGAGGGGGAATATGCTTGCTGCGCCACTTTTGCTAGAAATCCCCACCATCGGCTCTCGAAACTCTCCGGCCCAGCCCCAGAGGGGGGGAAAGCGGGGCCGAGCAGGCCTGAACTGGACCGAATTGCAGCATCGGCTCGGATCGGAAACGGATGGGGTCGCCAGCTGCGTCCCGCATCAAACCGACATCCGATCGCCGCGGCTGACCCTGGCTGGCCCCGGCCGATGTCGGCGAACCGAGCCGAATCGAATCGAATCGGAATCGCGGGCCCAACCCGCGAATCGGATCGCACCGAATCAGATCGCAGGCGGCCCGGCCAGGTGGGCAGCGGCGGCCGGCTCCGCGTGGCCGCGGCACGCCTCCACAAGGGCCGGCACCGCGCAGGCGGCGCGCTGGCCGAAGAGCCTCGGGCGCCCGCGCGGTGCGGGGGGCTCCTCCCAGAGGGGGGTCTCTCTGAGTGGTTCGTGTCCTGGCGGCCAAGGCGTTGGATTCTGACACCGAATGGATCTTTCAATCTTCAGCGCGCGGCGGCTTTCCTATCGCCAGATCGTGCCCTCTTGGTTGACTCTGGGCGACTGGCGGCGTTCAACCTCGAGCGCCCACGGCGGGGTCGCCGTAGGGGACAGCCGAAGGATCCCAAAGCAGGCCTTCCAGGTCGGCGGAGGACCTACCCTCTCGTTGCAGGCCGCTGCCGCCAACGGGGTCCGCCGGCCACGGCATGGGGGAGGAAGGAGGGACCTCCGCGGGGACCTCCGGAGTTCGAATGACCTGAACATAACCTCTGAGGGATCCATGGCAGAGGGGCGGGACCGGGCCCTCTTTAAGCGAGGATCGAGGGTCTGGGATTGATGTCCAGGCTGTGGTTTGCAATTTTGGCGGGAGCCCACGTGGCCAAGGACGGCTGGGTTCCCCTTGAAAACTTGGTCGGACGCACCCTAGGAGCCAAGGGGACGACAGCCTGGACTTCGCGAAACGGCGACGCAATCGACGGCACCATCGAGGCAGCCGACGTGTTGGAAGATTGTTGGACGTTCTTTATGTTTCTGACGAGAAACAGACAAGGATGGATCCCACGAGGCTGACCTAGAACAAATGATGCCCCGACATCCCGCGAATCCGAAACTTTGCTTCCCAACGTGAATGACAAGATTTGGAGACCGTGGCTGGCCCTTGGGATCGTCAGATTGCCCGACTCGGGACGGGTCGAGGGGCTCAGGGACAGGCGGCTCTACAAAAGCGACTCGTCGGACTTCTGGATCCCCCACTCCCCCAATGCCACCGCCTTCCAAATATTGGGCTTCGCTTCAGGGGGGAAATGAGGGGGGGAGAAAAGTGCACGCGTAAAGGGGGTCGCTTAAGGGGGCGATACATGAGAAGTCCGATAAAGAGACCAGTGCCAGCTTGTGGACCAGACTCGCGGCATCTTCGATGAAAAGGTAGATCCACTCTTCAAGGCAGTCAGTAAGAGGATCAAGGCGAACGAAGGGGGGACTGCAGCGGCCAATCAACACGTATATGTTCACGAGGAGCGACTCCAGCGCTTGGAACCGGCGCAAAGTTCGGGAGCAGGTGCAGGACAATTCGTCCAAAGGTACATTGAGGTGAAGGGCCCCTGCGATTTCACTAACCGCAGGCAGCACGTCGTCAACCAGGATGAAGCGGATGCGCTGATGGCCAACCTCAGGACAGGATTGCCCACCTCCCTCACGCAGAAGCTCGGCGACATACACCTCAGAGGCTTCAAGAGCCACAAGTTCACTGTGGATGTGGCCCCTGGCTTCGCCGACGAGGTTTCCAGCGTCATGGAGGAGTTCCTGTAAGAAGCACGCCTGCATCGTCCTGACGGGCGTGTCCTTAACACGACGGTCTGGCGTGAGGCGCATGAACAGAAACGTTTCGCCGCGGGGGGCACGGCGCGCGCCTTCTCGCTCTCAAAGGTCACTGCGGAGGGCGGGTCTGCTGAATGCACGTAGGAACTGTGGGGGCCAGATCGGGCCCTCTTCGAGAGCACAGGGGCCACCCTCCGCACGCGGGCACAGTGGGAGCAGACGGGGTCATCCTGCGGGCGCCGCCCAGTGCCAGCAGCACCTCGGCAGAAGCGCATGGCCAAGGAGTCTCAATTAGACGCACTTCCAATAAATTGTTAGTTGGAACAACCGCCATAGCCAAGGTTGCCAAAACCATCAGGTCCTACTTCGGCGACGCAATGGTCATCCTCAAGGAAGTTTCATCGCGGCGTACTAGCGCAGGTTATGTGTATGACAACCACGTTGTCGTAGGTAGTGTGGGCTCGGACTGTGGCTTCCTTATTCCTAGACTCTGGATGTCGGCCAGTCGTTCCCAGGAGTTCCAGCAGTATTGGGCACTTTGCGTGATAGGCAACACTCTTATGATTTCTGCGCGTATCTCGGACCATGTTCAGGATGATGGTGGAGCTCGGGCTGTAATTCGAGGGGCTTTAGATCACGTTCGGAAGGTTAATCGTACTTTGCCAGGCAATGATTTCGCTGACGCCAACGTCACCCTCCCAGCGCATTGTGAAGTTATCACTGCAAAGAATCGCAGAACCGAGCCGCGAACCGCAGAACCGAACCGACCGAAAGAGAACCGACGGAACCAGAACCCGTCAAAAACCGACGTGAACCGAAGCCAAACCGAACCGGAGGCGGTGGAACCGAACCGGGCCCAAACTGGGAACCGAGTCGGGAACTGATCATGGAGGTGGACCCGTGGGGGCACTGCCCGATGCGAGCGCCCACTCTTGCGCTCGGTCCATCCCGCCCGCTCCCAGCTCCTCCCCTGCGCCCCCGTGCTCCCTCGTCCTGTGTTGCTGCTTGTCCAGGGCCGAAGTGGGGGTGGCAGGGCGGCGGACGCGTTCAGATCGCATTTTTGGACAGTTCGAAAATGCGTTTTGGGCCTCCAGGTGATTTTCGGAGCCTCCAAGGCTGCGCTGGGGACAGCAGGGCGGCGGACACGCTCAGATCACATTGTTGGACGGATCGAAAATGCTTTTTGGGCCTCCCGGTGGTTTTCGGAGCTTCCAAGGCTGCGCTGGGGACAGCAGGGCGGCGGACACGCTCAGATCGCATTTTTGGGCGGTTCGGAAATGCATTTTGGGCCTCCAAGTGGTTTTCGGAGCCCCCAGGGCTGCGCTGGGGACGGCAGGGCGGCGGAAAAGCTCAATTCGCATTTTTGGGCGGTTCGAAAATGCATTTTGGGCTTCCAGGGGCCCTCGGGGCCTCCAGGGCCGAACTGGGAACGGCGGCCGGGGCTGGGCCCCCACCATCCTTCGCGCGCCCGACGAGAGCGCGGGCGGCGCCCTTACCTTCCCAGTTGTCTTTTGGGATGACCCATGCCAGGAGTAAGTGGCCCGTACTGTCCCAGACCGCCGTCCAAGCGATTTCTATCCTGGCGCTGAGGAATCGCCCGCCGTCGCCAGAGCCCCCTGGCCCAGGGGGCACGATGCTGTCGACTGGTCCGTCGAGGGCACCGTGCGTAACGTCTGGGCCCAGTGGCTCCCCTGGCCCCAGGGTTCCCCCTGACTCCTGGTTGAACTGAACCTCCAAACGCCTCCATATGATCATGTAGACGCACGCGCGCACACGTCATCTGCAAAAACCGAGAACCGAACTGGAACTGGCTGAAACGGAACCGCCCTCTAAATGGGAACCGCCTCAAACAGCTCCGAACCCGGAACCGTATTGAACCGAACAAGTTTCCCCCGAACCGAAACGAACCGAACGGAACCGGGGACGCGCCGTCACTGGCGACAGCGTCCTGCAGGCTGCCAAATCCCACTCTCCAGCTATGGCAGGTGTCGTGCTGAGTTGCTTCGAAACTTTGGGAGCGCGGGAACTCAATACCGACTGTGCCCACAGTGGTGCTGACAGCATGGGGATCCAGAGGGTCTTTGGACGTGTGGCCGCAAACGGACCTTGTCACGAAAAGATCAGATCGCTCTCGTTGCCGTCTCATCCGAGGTCTCCGGGCAGGTGCACCCCAAGACCTATGAGGAGAAGATCTTCCGCGGCTCCGACCACAATCCGCTTGTCGGAACGTTGCGTTTCAACGTGGCCGCGGCCTTCCCGAAGGCGGCCATGCGGCCGCCCCGACCGCCGCTGGCTGGGTGGCCCCCTACAGACGGACAGTGCTTGGAATAGGTTCAACGGGCGTGCTCAGAGTTACGTGGGATGCCCCTCTCCGCAATGCAACCTTCGGCCACGGCTCGCGCCTCCGACGCCCCGCATGCAAACAAGAAGCATCGGTTCGACCTAGAAAGGCGAATGAGGTCAATCGACCTGTGCGGGGGGCGTCGGGTCGCCAAACAAACATTCGTCGGCAAGAGGCCGCGAGGGCGCGCATGAGCTTCTTCGGCGCGCTTTTAGAGGGGCACGCTGGGCCAGATGCGAGCAAAAACTGAATGCGGTCGCCTTGCGCCGGCCCCGTGCGCCGCTGCCGACTGCCATGAAGTTCAACGGCCAAGTTTGCACTGATAGAACAAACTGGGTGCAAGAGGCCTCATTGTTCGGCGAGGCTAGGTTCGGCAACCCCCTGCGCGATCCGGACGCCCAGGTAGCTCGGCTACGACATTTGTTGTCGTTTTCTGTCAGTGCCATGTCGGAGGGCAGACCTCCCCCTGATGTGACGCTGTTCGACGTGTTTGCGGGCTGGTCCAAACTCTAATCCAGATCCGCTGCTGGGGCTGACGGCTGCCCCCCAGAAAAGTACAGAGCTTTCCCCATTCTCCCTCGTGGTCCACATGTGGCGCCGCCACTTGCAAAAGAGAGATGCCGGCCTCTCCACCGACGACACTCCGAGCTGGAAGATAATCACTTTCAAGGAGATCCCGAAAACAACTTCAACTGACAACTACGAGCTATTCCGCTGGATCGCCACCCTCGATTGTTTCCCGAAGTGGTACGCCCGAAGTCTGCTACTTCCTCTGCGGTCCAACATCGAGCAATCCTTCGTGTACGGCTTGGGATTCAAGCGGAAGTTTTGCAGTACTGACGTCGCGGGACTGGCCAGGCATGCGGTAAATTTCGCGCACAGGTGGGGCGCCCATCTCGGGTTTGCTAGTCTGGATGTGGCAACGGCGTTCGATGCGATGGACCACACACCGTTGTCTCAATCGATGTTGAAACGCGGCGTCCAGCCACAACTTGTCCACAACCTCCTTCGCGAACTCTCCGATTTCCAAGCCTCGCTATCGATCCCGGGAGCTGGCGACACACCGAACTTCACATTCAGCGCGGGGGCAAACAGGGCGGCGCTGAAACACCGGATGAATTCAACATGGTCTTAGAGGTCATACTGGAGCCCCTTGTTGAAGACTGGGGCCGTCGTGGGTACGGTTTTCAAGCAGGCACAAGCATTCACCCTCTTACACACGTTACCTGGGCGGACAATATCTTCCATTTTGCGGCCAGCATGGACCAATTCATCCAGATGCGCATTGAGTTGACAACAGAGATACACAAGCACAATGTGACGTGGAAGAATACATCTCTGGAATGTCTACGTGCCAGCTCTTCGACACAAGCGACTTGCTAAGACGTCGCAGTCGATTGCCCCAGCAACCTGCATCTCATATTTCGCGAGGTGCGTGAGATGGAAGTGTTGGGTAGCACCCTGGACGTCACTAGCTCGACCCGACGGAGTATCCACCATCGTCGGCAAAAGGTCGAAAATTGTTATTGTTCCGACTCTGAGGCTTACAAGGGCAAGGCTAATTTTCCTACGCAATGGACGTCTTGTTGCGAGGACCCGGCAACGTCGGCTTTGTCCGGTGCAAGCGCCTGGCATTTGACGCAAACCACACTCGAGGATATCAAGCGGTGGGGGCTCCAGTGGCTCCGGAGATTGTTGCCTCTACGCCGCAAGCCTGCTGAGTCTGCCATGTTGCATGTCCAACGCACCGCTGCTACCATATCCGATATGCAGTTTGAGCCAGAAGCTTGGTTGCAAGTTACTTCATCATCGAGTCCTCCATGAAGTGTTCGTCCAAGCGTGGCGGGAGAAGCACCTTCCTCATCGTGGGTTTCGCGAGCACCTCTGGCAATTGAGGAACTTCAGGGACTCGTCCTGGTGGAACGGCGTTCGTCAAATACCTGTATCTACAGTCAACCAGTATAGTAAGGATACGCGATAAGAATGCAAGGGCCTTGGACGCCCATTTCGAAGCGTTTCGAGCCGGGCGCGGCCAGCGAAAGCGGCCAAGGATGGACCGAGGAGGCAAAGATGCAAGGGTACCATTGGGAAGGTTGCTCATCCTTACTATGCGCGTTGACTGTACGCGCCGGCGTCTCGGGCTTACGCAGGGCACGGTGGGCCACCCTGCCAGATGGGAATAGGTATTCGTCACAGCGTTAGGTCCACAGTGCCGCGAGCTGTTAGATGCATGCACGTCGTGGTTTCAGTGGAAATCAAGGTCGTGCCACTTCATCAACGCAGTCTGCAACGCATCCTCTTTGCCACCCCTTCCAGGGAAAGGGCTAAGAAACAGAGGCACGAAGGAGACTTACAATCGCGCCCACGTGTCTAATTATGCCGATGACGGGGATGATGCTTTTCACGATTGGGGACACGAATCTGATGCTTTACATTCGTGGTCGATTGCAAGCCTTTGCACCAAGTCGCCATGGGCATGTCACCGTTGGCCGACGAGCAGTTGGAACCACTGTTCACCAGAATTTGCTGGAACCTGGCAGTCCCCATCGAGACCAGTTGGAGTCCCTCCCGCTCGTGGCGGGAACCAGTGAGGTGACGTAGGCGCGAGAAGAGCCTCGTAGCAGATTGTCTGAGTTATACAGTGAACAAAGGCCGCAACTGGTCCGAAACGCTCTCGTGGCCATTCCCGGGCGTTCCGGTAAGAAGATTGCAATGCAGCTGTGCACTCTGATGGCGGCAGCAGGGCGCAATTCCGCAACGGCGTGGATTGTGGAGCCTGGGCACCGCGGCAGTTTCGCTGCATACGCCATGGCCAGGACTTACATGTCTGCACCCGCATCCTTTCTCACAACTGGAGCCATAGCCTCAGACGTTGCGTTGGCATTCGTACACAACCTTCTCGTGCTGTCCGTGGGGCCCCGCCCCAAGCCACAGCGGTAACTCTGCACCACGTGTGAAGGAATGTTTTAAACCACAGCCAGTCGAGATAGAACGGACAGTCTTTGAGGGCTTCACGCAGAGCCAAGAGGAAGAAGAAGGAATCTCGGGCCCCAAAGGCCAACCTACAGGGCTCCTTCTCTGCAGCCCTCGCTGCCCCCTCAATTATCGCCCCCCCTTACGCGGCCTTCAAAAAAACAGTGGTTCCTCCTCCTCCTCCGTCTCCTCCACTTGCGACTCCTCCTTCACAACCACCTCGCCAGCAGTGGCTCATCCTCCGGCTCTCCGCCGACTTCCTCCCATAGCTGCTTCTCCACAACCACCTCGCCGACAGAGCCTTCTCATCCTCCGTTGCTCGACGCGCTACTGGCCGATCCCGTAGCGTCGTCCTCCCCCTCCCCCCCGGCGCGTCCGCGCACTCCTAGGAGGCGAGGTGAAGGAGCCATGTATCGTAATCACTATCGCCGTCGCTTCGCCCACGCTCCGCCATGACAGCGCCCTTGAGAGGCCCAGCTGCTGTGAAGCAAGCATCCACGGTGTGGTTCTCTGCTCGCCAGTTCGTTTCCGATTGGTTTTCGAGGCCACGAGAAAGCTCGAAGGGCGCCCACGAAGCCACAAGAGGGGCACATGAAAGCCTCAGGACGGCCCCCACTGTTCCCAAGAGCGCCCCAATACCATCCTCAGAGGGCCTCCATTAATCGATGTGTCGGTTCAAGGTGGGATACCCTAAGTAGGGACATCATCCATGCTTGAGCGATGGCCTCCATGATGGCTTTAGGAGCGCCCGAAAAGCCATCAAGAGTGTCCAACAGCGCCTCAGCTTCATAAGCTCCCCAAGTGATCCCGAGAGGGCCCTGTATTGTTCCAAGATGCATCCAAGAAGTTCCCAGCGGCCTCTACGTTAACCGTTGATAATCTCTCTGCGCCTGGGCATCGCCTCCAGGTGCGTCGGGAATATGCAACGTACGAATGTTCACCACACCTGGAGGTCCTTGGACACGACCCCAAGAGCAGTGGATGCGGAAGAGGAGGAGCGGTGGAGCTGTCGCGACTGCCATCGATGCACGCACCTGTCACCATTGAAGGCGCCGCCGTTACTGTCGCTGTCGCTGTCCGCTGTCGCGGATCGCGCTCGTGCGTTGAGCGACCAAGAAGAGGAGCGGCAAGGGAGCAGGCGACGACGACGCCGCACTCCGCGACGCCGCCGAGCTCGCCGAGGGGCCGCCGCCGATGCCGCCGCCAGGGCCACCGAAGGGCCGCCGAGAGCCGCCAGAGGCGGCCGAAGGCCATCGTGGGCCGACGCCGCCGCGGGGCCGCCGAGATAACAGAGGGCGTCCAAGTGGAGGGTCCAGTCTCTGAAATGGCCCGAGGCACGTGCACGGCCGAGGAGGGGCCCAGAGTCGCATTTTGAAATGAGACGGGCCCCCGCCACGGTTTCCCCCCTCCTCGTCATCTCCCTCCTCCTGGCCGCCCCGGTCTGCAGTCGAGGATTCAAGCAGTGCTGATTTCTATTCGGATCTGCCGATCTGGAGGGCTGTTTCACAACACCCTGGGAGGTCAGGGAAGGGCCGCCGCCCAGGCCTCCGAGGTGCCGCTGAGGGCCGAGGGCCGATGCCCCTGGGCCGCCGAAGGGCCCGATCGGGGGGCCTCAGAGCGTCCGCAGCGGCCGCACGCACCCGGGCGTCGTCGTCGTCGAGGCACGCCGTCAGGGCGGGCACGGCGTCGTTCGCCACCTGCCGCTCCGGCCAGACAGCGCCGCCCGGGCGGCTCCACGTCTGGGTTGGAGTCTGGGGGCCCGAGGACCCTCCTCCTGCTCCTCTCTTCTCTCCACCTCTTCCTCCTCGACATACTGTAGCGAACAGGGCCGGCAGCACTGGCCATGAGGCCTTCGCAATCTGGCCATGAGGCCAAGGGGGGCACGAGGCCCCAGACGTCCAATCCCTGCCCTTCTCTTCTCCTCCACTCCAGCCCTGGGGGCTGCCAGGGCGGGCGCCGACTGCCTACCCGCTCCGCGGGGGGGGGGAGGGAGCACGCCCAGACAGCGCCGCCAGGCGTCGCAATTGTTTCACGCCGGGCGTTTTAAGCCCAGATTCAGGTCCCTGGTGTCCTCACAAGTCGATCCCGCTCGAGGGCTGCTGCGTAAATTTGTGGATCGACCTGGGCGCTCATGAGCTGTCCCTTGCCCCACTACCAGACCTGAAATGAAGCTCCGCCACACATGAGCCATCACCCGAAGCACGAACCACCCAAAGGCCACGCAATATCCACGGCCTCAGGCAAGGCAGCGCCAAGGAACCGCAAAACACAGAGTCGGGGTGCCTGCGCACCTCCGCATGGCTTTCCGCCTGTTTCAGCCACGGAGTTCTGCGGTGCGGCGTGCTGCTCCTATTCCCCACCAGGCAGGTTGGTGTCGCCACTCGCATCTCGCGTGGACACCGTTTCAAGCAGAATAATCAGGCGGAGGAGGAGGGAAGAGGAGGAGAAGGGAAGAGGAGGAGGAGGAGGAGGAGGAGGAGGAGGAGGAGCTGGAGGAGGAGGAGGAGGCGGAGCTGTAGGAGGAGGAGGAGGAGGAGGAGGAGGAGGAGAAGGAGGAGGCGTATCATTGATGTCATGGTTGCCCCTATTGCTGTCGTCGTCGCCCCCCGACGCGCCCCGTGGCCCGCCCACGCGCCGCCCGCGCGCCGCCCCGCGACGCGCCCGCGACCCTCCCGCGCCGGGATCCACCCGGTCCCGTCCGCGACATCGGTCCGGCCGAATTGGCGCCTGCGGCGGGCCGGTATTGCTACGAAAAGGGTAGCGGCGGCGAGGACCGAGGGGCGAAGGAGGGGAGAAGGAGAATCAGGAGGGAAAGAAACGCACAGACACAATGAATCGGCGACTCCCCCAGAAAATATGGGAAAGTATGGGAAGTGGGGGGGAAGACAAAAACCCAGAAAATATGTGAAAATATGGGGAATCCTGCGATCCCCACCCGAGACCGCCAGGCGGGATACCTAGCACTGGGACCCTTGGGGCCGGGCGGCCGCGGTATGCAGTTGTCATTGGTCAAAGATGCGAGGCAGGATGTACCCAAGGAGCACTGGGGCCTTCGAGGCCTGGCGGTCGGGGTATGCACAATGTGCGAGGCGGGTCGGGGTCTCCCGTTCTTTGGAATCTACCAGCCCCAACCTGTCAGGTGGGACAAAAACATCGTCGTCTGCATCGTCTGTGGGGAACACCACTATGCGCCTCAGCCCCGCCGCCCTTAGACGCCGCCGGGGGGGGCCAGAGCGGATCCAAAAAATCCACGCGGAGCGCCAAAAGTTTATGTTCTCGGCGTTTCTTCTTCTTCGAGAGGAGCCACCAAACTGTCTCCTCCTGCCAGGGGCTTCCCATGCGCTCGGGCTTCACCTTCATAGCCCCTCACGTCCCCCTCCGCCGAGGCCGTACCGAAGCCTGCGGGAGACCCGGCGCGCCGCGAACGCGCGCCCGGAAAGGTCCCAGCCTCGGCAATGGCAAGGTTGAGCCAGATGACTTGGGCGACGGCATCGGGCTACAACGCAAACCATCAAGAGAAGAGGCGTTTCTGGACACGGCGGGCCTAGGCCACGAACAGGTTCGACGGCATAAATCCAAGGAGCGGCCCGAGAACCCGAGCCCCTCCTGAGCCCAAAGCGGTCCTCCTGTCAGCGTCTCGACTGTGCGTTCCGAACTTCGCGACATTGTTTGCAACATGCACGTGCACAGGCCAGCTCGTGTCATCGTCCATATGAGTGGGGAGTGTCGTCAGCCAGCACCGCCACGACCGCGCACATTGCATATCTGCGCGTCCACTCGCGCATCACCAAGCCTTGGAACCGCGGACACCGCGCCAAGGAGGCAATGGCTGGCCAAACGCATCAACATAATGGTGGTGATTCGCCGACTGATGCGCGAATGCCGCGGGGTAGACCGACATCGATATATGGTGGGGCCTGACCTGATTCTGACATTGACAGCAACGGGCCCCCGATTCCAGGGCATCACCCCAAAACAAACTTTTCATGAGCCGCTTTTAAACGGCCCCAATGCGATTTTTCACCACGGACGTTTTCCGCGGTCCCTTGACCCGAAAAGTACCCCAAATACAACTTTTCCGAATCAAAAAAAATTAGCCCCCCCCACCCTCGCTGGCACACGCTCAGCGGCTGGTTTTCCAAATTGCATCCCTCGCTGGCACATGTTCAGCGTCGCTT